ATGGTCAAGATCTGGAAATAGCCCATCAGTAGATGAGTGGATAAAAAAGCTGTGGTACAGTCACACAATGGAATAGTACTTGGCTATAAAAAAAGAAGGAAATCTTACCTTCTTCATCAGGACCTGGGGATTATTATGCTTAATGAAATAAGCCAGTCAGAGACAGATAAATACCATATTATCTCAGTTATATGTGGAATCCAATAAGTAAAATAATTTAATAAAAAATAAAAACAAGCATATATACATAGAACAGACTGACAGCTGTCATGGAAAGGAGGTTGGGGCACTGGGTGAATAAAAGGTGAAGGGATTAAGCAAAAATATATAAGTAATACACAGGCACAAACAACAGTATTGGTGATAGGCACAGAGAAAGGCAGTTGGAGGGAGGTGGAAGAGTGTGAAGTGGGGACAAATGGGGATGGAAAACACTTTTCTTTGGATGATGGGTACATGATGCAGTATATAGAGTATGTTTTTTTGAGTTGTACATGTGAAGCCTGCATGGTTTTGTCATCCAGTGTCACCCTAATACCTCAATAAAAGAACTACAGTGAAGAAAATCCTAGGACTGGATGACTTCACATGTGAGTTTTACCAAACAGTTAAAGAAGAATTGATGCTATCTTTCTTAATGTCTCCCCAAAAAAACATCAACAGAGGGAACACTCCTGAACTCATTTTAGTAGGCCAAAATTACCAATACCAAAGGTGGGAAAAGACCCTACCAGAAAAGAAAACTACATGCCAATATCCCTAATAAACCTAAGTGCAAATATCTTTCAGAAAATAATAGAAAACAATTCAACAGCACATTAAAAAAGATCATTCACCATAATTTATTGGGATTTATGCCTGGATGCAAGGATGATTCAACATACACAAATCAATCAATGTGATAGGTTTCATTAATAAAATGAAAGAAATAATGACGTTACCTTGAATGATGCAGAAAACCACTTGACAAAACAACATTTATCTGTGATAAAAATTCTTTTAAAAATTATGTATAGGCCTAGCTGGTGTAGCTCAGTGGATTGAACATGGGATGCTGGTTCAATTCCCAGTGAGGGCACATGCCTGGGTTGCAGGCCAGATCCCCAGTAGGGGGCGGGTGAGAGGCAACCACACATTGATATGTCTCTCCTTCTCTTTCTCCTTCCTTTCCCCTCTCTCTAAAAATAAATAAAAATAAGATAAATTTAAAAATTATTTAAAAAAATAAAAAATAAAAATTATGTATAGAAGGCAGACTGGATTAGCTCAGAAGTAATGTCACCAAGATGGCAAAATAGGACATTCCTGACTTCACTCTTCCTCACAAGAAAAACTAACATACTCAATGACAAGATTCCACTGAGACAACCCTAAAACATGGAAGTGAGGCTGAAGCAACCCTCTATACCACAGAAGTGAGACAGACTATGTAAGAAAGGTAAGAGAAGGGGCTACATGTTGACTGTATTGTTCCTTCCCCATATCTTAGCTGCACCATATACCAAGGCCACTCCTGAGCCTCAAGCTCCTCCTGTTTAAAAAGAGAACCTAGTGGAGACAATTAGCACCCTTCTAGTACTGAATTCACTTTGTCAAGCCACTACTCTGATCTTACATAACCTATGGGTATTGCAAGCTAATCTGGGAAGCTCAATCACTTCAAATATGTGATGGAGAAAGGGGAGGGGCTTGAAACAACTAGCACATGGATCTTGGCAGACCAAGATCATACCTTCAGTGCCAAGTAGTTATGACAACCAATAGCTTTGCTCCTCTGGAGAACAAAGTTATAGGCATATTCTGCCCAGGGAACTCAGCTGGGTAAAGGTATGCCTGATTTCAGTCCTCAAAGGAGGATAATTTTGCTAGCCCTAAAGCCCAATTTGCTAATGTCCAGACAAGGAGTAGATTCATAGCCCCAACCCCTCTGGAGAATAACTTAAGGCCCCATTGAACCAGAGTGCTAGGGACAACTCCTAGAAGCTGTGTGGTGTGGGGTGTTCTACACAGAGTGCAGCACTCCAGCCCAGAGTCAATAGGGCAGAACTGACCATCTCTGGAGGAAAGCTAGTACCAGTCATGGATGGCTCCCTCACTATGCATAGGTAGGTATATTAAATGATATCCAAGGCTGATGGTAACTTCTGGCCCCTCCCAAGAGAGCCCTCACAGAGAGCCTGTTTGGAAAATTGAGAGTAACCTGGAGTGGCCTGTCACTCTCCCATCTATGCAAGGAGCTAAGACTTAGTATCCCCTGTAGTTTAGAGTGTCTTCTGGTCTCATCTGACTAAAAGGGCTGTTGACAATTTCTGGAAGTTATGCAGGCTACTGGTGCTGCAGACAAGAGGAGGTAAGCAGAGCCAAAAGTTTGTAAACCAAATCCAGGGGCCCTATTTAGCCAAGGAACTTGCGATGCTGTTTGGCTTTATTAAGACAAGAAAGAACTATACCAGCTTTACAGATACTTCTCCCACTGTGCCAGGCAGGGAATCTTATGTGTAGCCTCACATATTGCTGAATACAGACTTCAGCCTGTCCAATCAATGAACCTAACCATAGCACACAGGAAGCTGTGTAGCCTATTCATCAGTCCTATGTACAGTGTCACTTGAAGAGACAATACAGCCTGTGGCTTCCCCCACCTGAAAACCAAAGCCTCACCTGACCAAGGAATTTGGCATACACTCTGGCCTGATTCAGTTACCCAAACAATGAGCTGTACAGGTCCTGAGTTCTATTCTGCTGCCCTGTCAGTGCAGAGAAGCTAATTCAGGGCCCCATCTACAACTGATTATGTCCTGACATCTACTAAGACTAACCACAGAATCCAGGCAACCACAGAGCCAATCCTACATCCTTACTTGTATGAGAAAACAAGTCAGCAGCCCAGCCAACTGTTCTCAGCCAGAGGCAGAACCCCTATGCCTATCCCCAGAGCTTGAACAGTATCCCCACCTAAAAAACAGACCATAATAGCAGCCACACCTGCTGAAGTATATACACAGAATGCCAAACTGAAGTGGCTGGGAAAGATTTGTCTCTCTAATTACTGAAATGCACAGATACCAATGTAAGAAAGCAAGGATCACAAAAAATCAGGTAAATATGATACCACCAATGGAAACAAAGAAAGCTCTAATAACTGTCCTAAAAAATAGAGATCAATAAACTGTTGGACAAAGAATTCGGAAAAATCCTCTTAAGAAAGTTTTGTGAACTACAAGAAAACACAGACAAGTAAACAAAATCAGGAAAACAATACATGAACAAAACAAATAGTATAACAAAGAAACAGCTACCATCAAAAACCCTAAAAATCCTAATAAATAAAATATAATAATCAAACTAAAGAATTCAATAGAGAGTTTCAAAAGTAGACTTGACCATGCAGAAGAATCAGTAACCTGAACATTAGAAATTATCCAGTCAGAGGGGCATTAAAAAAGCAATGAAAAAAGCCTATGAGAATAATGAAACACAATGAAAATAAACAAATTTCACATTATGGAATTTCTAGAAGGAAAGGAGAATCATAAGGGGACAAAAAGTATATTTAAAACAATAATTGCAGAAAAATTCCTGAACCAGGGGAAGAAATGAACATCCATAGTCATGAAGCCCAAAATATCACAAATAGGGCTATTCCAAGACGCATTATAATTAAATTGTCAAAAATCAAAGAGAAAGAAATAATTTTAAGATCAGCAAAAGCAAAGAGAGAAGTTACATAAAGGGAATTCTCATAAGGTAAGTGCAGGATTTCTCACCAGAAACTTTTCAGGCCAGAAAAGAATGGGTTTCCATGTCTGTCTTCATATATTGAAGTGATCTTTTATGGCACTCAAGTTTATAATTGTCTTCATTTAGGTTTCACACCTATGTTTCAACTAATTCATAGGTACTATAAAATCATCTTCTATTGTGTCTAGTATATGGGGATGATTCTGATATAGGGATGCTGTGGCTTTAATTAAGATACTTGTTAACCTTACTGGAAAAGTTTTTACATGAATTTTCTTGATGTTACAGGTATACAGGGTCTAGCACAAACAATGCCAGTTTTTTAAATGATTTTATTTATTTATTTATTTTTAGAGAGGGAAGGGAGGGAGAAAGAGAGGGAAAGAAACATCAATGTGTGGTTGCCTCTTGCACGTCCCCCACCTGGGACCTGGCCCACAACCCAGGCTTGTGTCCTAACTGGGAATTGAACTGGCAACCCTTTGGTTTGCAGGCTAGTGCTCAGTCCACTGAGCCACACCAGCCAGGGCCCTTTTTTCTTGCAAAATCATAAGTATGTACTTGTGTAACATATCACACCCAAGCACACCATGTGACATTTTAGGTGAAATAATCAAATTAAAACCATAAATTATTATACCCATATTATTACCCTACCAACCACATTCAAGCATGCATTATTTCTGCAGGACCCTGTAAAATTACTTGTTTTCCAAATAATGATCTGTATTATTTTTAATGGTGTCACATGTAGATTTACTACTGTTTTTAAGGAAGTATTTTAAAAAATTGACAGGGCTCTTTCTTCCTCTTATCACTCTTCTTCTTCAAATGAGCTTTTGCTTTTAAAAAGACAAATTTGTTTCATTATTTCATTTTATTATAAAAATATTAAAAAATAAGGAGCAGATTAGAATAATTACATATGTAATGTGATCTCAATTATATAAAATTTATATCTACATGTAAGTATAGAGGAATAACTGGACAGAAATAAAAAATAATAGCAGTTACCTCTGAGCAATTTATTTGCTTTATTATATTTCATTTTTAAAATCTTCCTTTTTCTTATAAAAAGACAAATAAAATGTCAAAAAACTATAAAAGTTGCAACAAAAATTACTTAGTACAACTATTGTGATCATTTTAATTCTGTATGTTGACACAGAAATATCTGGCAGACAGTAAAGGAAAAGGGTGAGAATGGCATCTATTGGCCTAAATATGAATTCCATTAAAGTGATTCTATTTATAATTACCTTTTTCTGAGCCAGAATGAGATCTTGGTCTACTTTGGACATTAAAAATGAGCCACCATCATGTTCCATCCAGTAAAATTTCAAGTCCTTTAAATGTACCTTTTCATCTAGTTTTAATCTGTGAAAGAATAAAAAAAGACTGGTATGAAAAAACTACTTATATATACTCACTAGTTCAATCCTAACAATTGAGTTTCTGCTTTAGATGAGTTTTTATTTCATAATTTTGTGCCAGAAATAGTGATAAGCCTTTAGAATTCAGATTTTCATTCAAGAACATTGCTCTGCCTACAAGAAAGAACAGTTTGGAATGGTCAAGACTGAAGATGGAGAAGGCTCTGGTAGTAATCCAAGTGAGAAATTATTGTAGCCTATACCAGAATTGTAACCATCGTGGTAGAAATGTAATGATGTAGGAAATAATTATGAGGTAATCTTCACTGGAGATTGCTTAGACATAAGCAGTGATAGAGATGGGGAATCAAGCTTTAGTTACTGGGTTGATCATTGTATACTCACTGAAGCTGGGAAAGAATAGAAATAGCAAATAAGTGTTGTGGGGCTTGAAAAAAGAATGAAATCAGTTTTAGATCAGGTCCTTAGGATGCCCAGTATGCCAGTTAATACACACTCTTGTAGCTAAGATAAAAAAGAAACTGGAGATGCATATTTGTGAATCTTTTATGTATGGGAGATAAATTGAAGTAGCAGGTGTAAATGGAGTCATCCTGGGAAGTTGGGGAAAGAGAGAAGAATGAATTGAGCCAAGACCCTCTAGAGTGCCAATATTTAAGGATGAACCACCAAGGTAGATAAAAAAGGGAAAGGCATAGATACATAGATATGGGAGCTACATCAGAAGAGTATGAATCACAAAATCCAAAGGTAGAGATTGTTTCAAGAAGGAAGGAAGGGGCAATATGGCCGTCATCTCCAAGATCAGAGAACTTGACAAAAACTCCAAGATCAGAGAACTTGACAAAAACTGTTTGGTTGTGGAAAGGTGTAAATCAGTATATACTTTAGGCATGTTTAATGATAACAAATAAGGGCTATATATATCTATATACCTATATACCTATATATCTATGTATCTATCTATCTATCTATCTATCTATATATATATATAGTCTATCCAGAAAACGTCCAGCCATTGTTAGTATAATGAGAATGATTTGCGTGACATCGATGTAACCTGGCAGCCAAGGAGAGTGGACTGGAATGCACATGCATGAACAATGATGACTTCACTGTACTAGTCAGTGGGGGTGGTAGATGCTTTTCAATAAGCATGTGTACTGTGTGGCTTTCACCTTCAAAATGACTGAGGAAGAAGAGCACAGGTGGCAAACAAGGCCTGCAGGCTGAATCCGGCCCTCCACCTTGTTTTATCTGGCCCACCACCTTTTTTCTACCCGGCGGCAGTGTGGAGCTCCTTGCCCCTAGATAAGCAGTTGTTATACTTATACAGTCCTAAAATTACATTCAGCCCTTTGAAGGCAACAGCGAGGCTGATGTAGCCCCCAGTGAAAAAGAGTTGGACACCCCTGGAGTAAAGCAACAAATCTGCATCAAATTTTGCATTAAGCTTGAACATTCCTCTGTGGAAGATATTTGGATGATTCAGAGGGCCACAGCTATGGGCAACTAGTGATTGGCAACTTCATCACAGCAATATGTCCATTCATGTATCACGTCTTGTGCAGAGACTTTTGGCAAAACATCAAATCACCCAGGTGACTCAGCCCCACTACAGCCCAGATTTGGCACCCTGTGACTTCTGGCATTTCCCAAAACTAAAGTCACCTTTGAAAGTCAAGAGATTGTTGATGAGATTCAGAAAAATATGACAGGGCAACTGATGGCAATTGGGAGAACTGTGTGATGTCCCAAGGTGCCTACTTTGAAGGGGACTGAGGCATCATTGTCCTATGTACGATGTTTCTTGTATCCTCTTCAATAAATATTTCTATTTTTCATATTATATGTCTGGATATGTTCTGGACAGACCATATATATGTATGTGTAGTATATATACACATATATTATGTGTATTATAGATATATAAAGTTGAAATCATAGAAGGTGAGACAAGTAATGGAATAGAGACTTGAGAGAGTACCAGAACAAGAGATCTGGAGCATAGGTTAAAGTATTTTTATATCAAAGCAAAAAGAAAGACATATTCTCCGATCTAAAAGGACAAATGAGAAATTAATGGCTGGGGAACTAGAAAAAGAAACTAGAAAGCTAGATGTAAGGGACTGAAGAAAGTTCCACAGATCGCATTTTCTTGGTGAGGTAGAACGTGGGATAATTATTGAATGCAAAAGCTAGATGAGGAACTCATAGTTTCTCTGAAAATAAAAACACTTTGAAGTTGCTGCTGTGGAAAATGTGATAAATAGCTATAAAGGGAAATGTGGAGATTTCTAGGCTTTATCAATGTTCCAGTAAGTTTGGAAAACATGTGTGGTGATAGATGACGGAAGTATCAGAAAAGGTTACTTAAAATGAAATAAGTCTATATATTCAAATTGCCAAATGAACAACAATAATCCACTGCTTTCATTGCCAAAATAGGCTTCTCTTTGTGTCATATTTTTCCACAGTAAGATATTTCTACAAACTATTTTCCAAGTTTGGGAAGCATGATATCCACATATACAGATCTCTCTCATAAAAACAAAACAAAACAAAACAAAACAAAAAACACCAAACAAAATGTCCCTCTAATTGTTTGAAGACTGGAAGTTTACCTCTGTGTCTCTAATAAAAAAAAAAGGAAGAATTAATGTCTGGACAGGAAGGAGAGGAAATAAAGAAAAGAAGCAAACATACTTTTTGATTCCAGGTCCTGCCATGACCCTCAGCATGGGGGCCAGGTCTTCAGCATAGCGGCACATCGGGCCAGTGCACTGAAATAGCTCCTGGGCTCCCCTGGCCATAGGAAACTGACCCTTGTTGGAGACCACACCTGAAAGGTTAGACACTTGGGTTAGGTGTCCAAAATAAGACATGATCCCTCATATGACTGAAATTATATGGTTCTTAGCGTTTTCTGTCTGACTTATTTTGCTTAGCATGATATTCTCAAGGTCTATCCATGTTGTCACAAAACTGAAACTCAGACACAGCAACAATATGATGGTTACCAGAGGAATGATGGGTGAAGGGGTAGGTAGTTAAAGATAAAGGGTAAAGGGTGCTAAATATATGGTGAAAGAAGATGATTTGACTTTAGGTGGTGGGCACACAATGTAATATAGAGATGATGTATTATAGAAATGTACACTTGAAACCTATATAAACTTAAAAATCAATGTCATCTCAATAAATTTAATTTAAAAAGACATGATCCTGAATGTTGTATTTCACCATCATGTTTAATCTATTATAAAACTGGAGGGTAGAACTTCCAGTACACTCATATCAATAGAAGCTGCAAGAGCAGACATATTTTTCTTTTGTTCCTGATCTTTGGAGGAAAGTTTTTAGCTTTCACAAATAAGTATGATGGGTGTTTTCATATATGCTCTCTTTTTTAATATAAAAAATTATACAGTTTACTATGTGGCAGATACTCTTCTAGGAGCTTTACAACATTGACTCATTTAACTCTCCTAACAACCTTATGAAATAGGTATTTTGGCTATACCCATTTTACAGATATGGCACCTAAGGCAGACATTAAGTATCTTGCCTAAGATTACATAGTTACTAAGTGACAGAATATCTGAAGTCTAGCTTCCCAGACTGTTATCAATCACTAAACCAGTGATTCTAAAACTTCTGGCTTCAGGATCCTTTTATACTCTTCAGAATTATAGAAGACCCCAAAGAATTTTTGTTTATACAAGTTAAACATATCAATATTTAACATATTAGAAATTAAAACTAAAAAGATACTAAAATATTTATGTGTTAATTTGTTTAAAAGTAATGGTAAACCCATTACACGTTAGCACAAAAACATTTTATAAAAACAACTATATTTTCTGACACAAAAATATACTTAGCAAAAAGGGCATTCTTTTACATTTTTGCAAATCTATTACATGCTTGGTTTAAAAGAAAATACCTGGACTCAGATATCTGCTTCTGTATTCTACATTTTTTAATATGTAATTTTGTTTGAAATATATATATAAACTCAATCTCATACAAACATTTATCTGAAAAGTCAGAAGTATTTAAAATCTTAACAGATAATTTTTCATTATCTCTGTTCATATTATATCAAATCAGGACAAGTCCTGTTTCTGATAGTATATTTATACTAAGAAATCTGGAATTTTATCAATGAATTTCATATTCTGTTACACTAAAATCTATCAGCATATCTCTTACTCTGAGTCAATCATGTTCCAATTCGTAATTTTGTAACACCAATCATTAGAACAACATTCTGATGTTCACAAATATATATATTACATATTATATTCATTTTACAGTATAAAAAATTCATTCACATCACCACTGATCTCTAACAAAAGTCCTTAGTTATTGCAAGGTTATTAAGCTCATGTTAGTGGACATAGGTTTTCAAAATTTCTAATTTTTGTTTTTATAAGGTTCTTAAAATACACATGTAAAAGCCCAATCCAAAGTAAGAGATAGAAAGATGAATCTGTTATATGTATGAATATTTTTTAATTAGTAACAAAAAATGACTGATGGTTACCAGAGGGGAACTGGATATAAATGGTGAATGGATTAAGAAGAACAAACTGGTAGCTACAGAATAGTAAAAAGTATGCAATTACAGCATAAGGAATATAGTCAATAATATTGCAATAACTATGTATCAGTCTAGGTGGATACTTGAAATATTGGGTGGATTACCTTAGAAAGTATATGATTGTCTTACCACTATGCTGTACACCTGAAACTAATACAGAATAATATTGAATGTAAACTCTAATTGAAAAATAAAAAATGAAAAATAATGAAAAGGGTCATGAATATATTAAATATATTAATGTAGATTGAACTGTTGAAGATGCAAATGCACTACTGCATGCACTTTTTTTCCTTGCTTTTTGTTACTTATCCCTGTGCTGACATGAATTTTTGGTGTTCAAAGGGTGGTTGTTAAAACCAGAAAAGATTAAGAAATATCAAATAGGACAAGAGCATCATGGTGGCATAAGCTGTTTTCATTTTCTCTCAATTTTTAATACAACTAATTAGATATTGTTTAACTGAACAAAATTGCCTCTGCACATTACACCAGGGTACATGAAAGGTTTCTAGCCTACCAATGCATCCAAAAATAGACAAAAAAAGAACTTGGCAAGGGCTGTAGATCCAAGAGAGTCAATGTAGATCCCCATTCCAACTCAATGTGATGGGGATAAAACCTGGAGAGTGAACCTGGGCATATGTCCATGGACATAGAAAGACAGAGAATTTGTAGAAGTCCAGCCTGGTTGAGGGGAGAATCCAGTATGCAATTGGTGCAGGGCAGAGACAAGGTTGTATGTATAGAAAAGGGAGAAACTCATTACACAATCCTGCTTCCCAGGGCACTACTGCAAGAGGTTGCACTTTTTATTGCAACAGAAGCAATCACTCCAGTAGAGGAAGTGGAATGCTGTGACCTCTCCCACAAAGAAGATGGGAAATGAAAGTGGTGAGTGAATGTCTTGTCACCCCAACTGTGAGGATGTGGCTGTCCAGCAGGACCCATATTTCTGAGGAGAGACCTCCATTACAGGGGAGATGGAAGAGAAAAGGAAGGAATCAGATAAGAATAGCAAAGAGAATTAAAGGAGTACAGTTCCTACTGTCTGCTTCAAGAATTCAGCAGGAAGTATAACCACAGGTGTCTGGGAGGACCCACAGGGAAAACTCCTAAACTCTTTTTATGAGGCCAGTATTATCCTAATTCCAAAACCAGGTAAAGACACAACAAAGAGAGAAAATTACAGGCCAATATCGCTGATGAATACAGATGCTAAGATCCCCAACAAAATATTGGCAAAACCGATCCAGCAATACATTAAAAAGAGTATACACCACAATCAAGTAGGTTTCATCCCAGGGATGCAAGGATAATAAAATATTTGCAAATCAGTAAACATAATACACCACATAAACAAACAAAAGACAAAAATTTCATGATCATATCAATAAATGCTGAAAAAGCATTTGATGAGCTACATCATCCATTTATGATAAAAAACACTCAGCAAAGTGGGAATAGAGGGATCATACCTCAACATAATAAAGGTCATATACAAGAAACCTACAGCCAACATTATACTCAACAGGCAAAAACTAAAAGCTTTACCCCTAAGATAAGGAACAAGACAAGGATGCCCTCTTTCACCACTCCTATTCAACACAGTACTGGAAGTCTGAGCCACAGCAATCAGACAAGAAAAAGAAATAAAAAGCATCCAAATTAGAAAGGAAGAAGTAAAACCACCACTGTTTGCAGATGACATGATAGTGTACCTAAAAAAACCCTATAGATTCCACCAAAAAACTACACAACCTAATAAATGAACTTGACAAAACAACAGTATACAAAGTCAGTATTCAGAAATCAAAGGCATTTTTATACAGTAATAATAAACTATCAAAAAGAGAAATTAAGAAAACAATATCATTTACTATAGCAATGAAAAAATAAGTATCTAGGAATAAATTTAACCAAGGCGGTAAAAGATCTGTACTCAGAAAACTATAGGACACTGAAGAAAGAAATTGAGAAAGATACAAATAAGTGGAGGCATACAGTGTGCTCATGGATTGGAAAAATCAACATTATGAAAATGTCCATACTCCTCAAATCAATCTATAGATTCCACATGATTCCTATTAAAATACCAAGGACCTATTACACAGATCTAGAACAAATATTCCACAAATTTATATGAAACCAAAAAAGACCCCAGATAGCCTCAGCACACTTGAGAAAGAAGAAAAAAATTGGAGGGATCACAATACCTGATATCACACTATACTTCAAGGCCACTGTATTTAAAAGAATCTGGTACTGGATAAAAACAACACATAGATTAATGGCACAAAACAGGGAGCCCAGAAATAAACCCACATCTTTATAGTCAATTAATATTTGACAAAGAAGGGAAGAGCAAACAACAGAGTAAAGACAGCCTACTCAATAAATGGTATTGGGAGAACTGGAGTGGTACATGAAAAAATATGAAACTAGATCATTATCTTATTCTACACCAGAATAAACCCAAATGTATAAAAGACTTAAATTTAAGTCACAATATCATAAAAATCCTAGAGAAAAACATAAGCAGTATAATTTCAGACATCTTGTGTAGCAATATTTTTGCCAGTATAACTCCTAGAGCAAGAGAAATAAAGGAAAGAATAAACATATGAGACTACATTAAATTAAAAAGTTCTGTACATCTAAGGAAACCATTATCAAAATGAAAAGGGAACTGACTGTATGGGAAAACATATTTGCCAATGATACATTGGACAAGGGTTTGTTCTCCAAAATATCTTATATTGAACTTATATGACTCCACACCAGGAAGACAAACAATCCAATCAAAAAATAGGCCAAGGACCTGAATAGATACTTCTCCAAAGAGGACATACAGAGGGCTCAGAGACATATGAAAATATCCTCAACATCATCAGCCATTAGATAGATGCTGATTAAAATAAGATACCTCACACCTCTCAGAATGACTATCATAAATAAGTCAACAAACAATATGTGCTGTTGTGGATGTGGAGAAAAGAGAACCCTAGTGCACTGTTGCTGGGAATGTAGACTGATGCAGCCACTGTGGAAAACAGTATGGAATTTGCTAAAAAACCTAAGTTGGATCTGCCTTTTGATCCAGATCCTGCTGCTGAGAATATACCCTAAGAATCCTGAATCACCAATTCAAAAGAGCCTAGGCACCTCAATGGTCATAGCAGCACAATTCACAATAGCCAAGTGCTAGAAGCAACCTAAGTGCCCAACAGTAAATGAGTGGATCGAAATACTGTGGTACATTTACACAATGGAATACTACACAGCAGAAAGAAAGAAGGAGCTCTTGCCTTTCGAGACAGCATGGATGGAACTGGAGAGCATTATGTTAAGTGAAATAAGCCAGGAGATGAGGGATAAATACCATATGATCTCACCTTTAACTGGAACATAATCAACAAAAGAAAAAAGCAAACAAAATATAGCCAGAGTCATTGAAATTAAGAACAATCTAACAATATCCAGAGGGGAGGGGGAGGGGACAATGGGGAGAAGGGTTTTCAGGAACTACTATAAAGGACACATGAACAAAACCAAGGGGGAGGGTGGAAGCAAGGGAGGGAGGTGGGTTTGGAGGGAGTGTGGGGGAGGGGTGGGGAGAAAATGCAGACAACTGTAATTGAACAACAATAAAGTAATTAAAATATTTGCTTCAAAACTTAAAAAAATAAAATAAAATAAAGTCTGAAAAGACAGAATGTCTCTTAATCTGTAGGTTTGGTTTAAATGCAATTATATCATGAATATTGTGGTAAAATGCATGCATGAGTCAAGTAAAGTTTATATTTTAAAATCAAAAAAGAAAAAATAATAAATAATAAAAGAAATGATAAAAATAAAAAGTAAAATGCAAATTCTGTAGGATAGCAAAGTGAAATTTGTCTCAGTGTCTTAGTTGTTGGCATTAGCCTTCTGAACTCTCTCTGGATCAGTCTTTGGTCCTTTCACAGCTCCAGGTCTTATTGTCTCACACTTGGTGGGCTGTGGGGGGAAGCCTCCTGCTCACTTTAAGCATGACAAGTGAATTCTGCTGGTCTTCCTGGATGCTACAGGCAGAGGGGGGCTGGGCTTTGCTTTTCTCCTTTCCTGTGGTTTTGCGAGGATGGGGGCTAGGGCTGGGCTGCAATATTCTGAGGTGCCCAGCCTCCAGCCCAAGCCCTCAGAGCACTGCGCTGCCCTCACTGTCCATCTGAGCCAGGCCGGAGCCTTTCATCTACCACACTGTGTCACCCATGAGGTGCACTGATTAGGAGCAAGTCACACCCCTCCTCCTCCCTCTTTGCTCTCCTGGGTGCTGTGCACTCTCAAAGTCCCTTCTGGGCAGTTTAGTTCCCCTATTAAATTAAGTCTCTCAGGGGACTGCTAAGTCTCTGAGCCCTTGCTGCCTTCTGATCAGTCCCTGCAGTGTCCTTCCTCCTCCCTCTTCAATGGCCTAGCTACTGCGTAAGAGAGGTCCTTATAGAATGGATGCACACCGGCTTTTTTTGAGTGAATTTCCCTCTGTTGCAGGCTGCCGTTCTTAACAACCACCTGGCTTTTCACAAAGCCCAGCTCTCTGACCAGTCCAGAGATTCTCTGGGTCACGGTCAGTAGGGGCCTAACTCTTCTCCCATCTCCAGGTATCTCCCTGCTCCCTGATTTCTCTGGTACTGTCCAGCCAGTGACCTCAGACTAAGCTGGGGGACGCCCCCTGCTGTGTGTCTCCCACTACATCTTTATCCCCCTCAGCAACTTCAAGCATCCAGGTCTCTCCTAGGCAGGGCAGGCTTCCCTGTTCTGGGAGGGAAGGGAGCTGCAAAGTTGGGATCCCTGACCAGGCTCTCCACCAAAGCTCCTATGGCAGCAGGGCCCCGAACCTCAGCCACTGCAGTCCCAGGGGCAGGGCCCAGTGACCACCTACAAAATTTCCTTACTGCCCGTTTTTTAATGTTCCTTGCAGTCTTTGACTTCCAAACTTCATATAAGTTGGGATTCCATTTGCTGTTCACTCTGTTCTTCAGAAAATTGGCTAGGTGTACCGGTTGGGTGCACGAACAAGTAAATTTAAGGTCCCATCTACCTCGCTACCATCTTCTAACTCAATCTGTACCACAGGTTTTTGATACACTCATTTACTGGTAAGTTTTATCAGATACTTAAAAAAAATCACTGGCAATATTTTTCAAACTCATCCAAAAAATTAAAGAGGAGGAAACACATTCAAACGCATTCTATGAAGTCAGCATTACCATAATTCCAAAACCAGATTAGGACAAAAGAAAACTAAAGAATAAAGTCCCTGGTGATTATAGATGTAAAAATTCTCAACAAAATATTAGAAACCAAATTCAACCATGCAGTAAGTGGATCATACACCGGAATCAAGTGGGATTTAATCCAGGGACGCAAGAATGGTTGAATATTCACAAATCATTCACCATGTTACACCACATCAACAAAACATAGACTTAAATGATATAATGATCTCAGTAGATGTGGGAAAGTAATTTAACATCCATTTATGATAAAAGCTCCCAACTCAGTGTGCATAAGAGGAACATACCTCTACACAATAAAGGCCATATATGGCAAAACACAGTTAACTTCATACTCAATGGTTAAACACTGATTTTGTTCTCAGATCAGGAATAAGATATGACCAAAAATATTAGAACTAATAAGTAAATTCAGTAACATTGCAGAATATAAAATTAATATACAAAAATTGGTTGTTTTTAAAACAATTTTATTTATTTATTTTTAGAGAGAGGAAAAGGGAGGGAGAAAGAGCGGGAGAGAAACATTAATGTGTGGACACACCCCCTACTAGGGACCTGGCCTGCAACCCAGGCATGTGCCCTGACTGGGAATTGAACCAGTGACCCTTTGGTTTGCAGACAAGCGTTCAACCCACTGAGCCACACCAGCCAGGGCTGGTTGTGTTTTTGTACAAGGGTAGGCAAGAGTAGGTTTATAGTTGTTTGTATGGAAAAAGACATGCAAGTTATGATTATTATAATAGCTTCTGTTTCCTCACTTAAAATTATACTATAAAACTATTGCAAACAAAACAATGTGGTACTGGCACAAAACAGACACATAGATCACTGGAATAAATCTATATATAGGTGACAGAAATAAATCCAGGCTTATATGGTCAATTAATGTATGACAAAAGAGGCAAAAATATACAGTAGGAAAATGCTCCTCAATATAGTGTTGAGAAAATGGGACAGCTACTTGCAAAAAAAACTGAAACTAGAACATTTTCTTACAGTATGTACAAAAATAAATTTAAAATGTATTAATATTAGTCCACAAACTATAAAATTTCAAGAAGAAAACAAAGGCAATAAACTCTTTGACACTGGCCTATGTAATATTTTCTTGGATATGTCTCCTCAGGCAAGAACAACAAAAGCAAAGATTATATAAGATTCCATAGAACTAAGAAGCTTTTGCACAGTGAAGGAAAACATCAACAGAACAAAAAGTTAACCCACTTGGCAGAAAATTTTTAAATAATTCATAAAATTCAACATCAAAACAACCACCAATTCAGTAAAAAAATGAACAGAGGATCTGAATAAACATTCTTACAAAGAAGATATAAAGATGGCCATCATATATGTACAAACATGCTCAACATCACTAATTATCAGGGAAATGCAAATCAAAACTACAGCGAAATATTACTTCACACTTGTGAGATCAGTTATTATAAAAAATAAAACAAATAACAAGAGTTAGCAAGAAGGAAAGGGAACCCCATACACTCCTGGCTGGATTGCAAACTGGTGCAACCACTGTGGAAAAGAGCACAATGGCTCCTCAAAATACAAAAATGGAACTTATACAGGACCCAGCAATTTCACTACTGGGTATCTATCAGAAGAAAAAAACCCAATAATTTGAAAAGATACATGTATCCCTTATGTGCAGTTTTACTTCTTCCTTAGTTTTGATTTTTTCATCTGCCATTCTTCCTGAAAGGGTTACTTTGGAAATTAAGTAAAATTAGTTATGGGAGACAACATTTAGAGTGCCTGATACAGAGCTGGTAGTCAATAAATTTGGTCCTGGTAAGGACCAAATTTCTATATTGCTATAAATCATAAAAGTGTAACCACCCTTATCACCATATTAATATTACCTGGTGAAGGTTTGTGTCCAAATATGCCATTGAAGAATGCAGGCATTCGAATGCTGCCACCAATGTCAGAGCCCACACCAATCACTGAGCAGGCAGCTGCCAGGGTACAGCCCTCACCACCTACGGGAAATGCAAAATATTCCTTTATAATAAATCAATTAAGTTACTATTGGCATGGAATATATTTTATCATCTTTCATTTTTAACCTTTCTGAGTCTTTAGATTAAAATCAAGTCTTAGTAGATACCATATATTTGGAACATAATTTTAATCCATTATGCCAATCTATATCTTTTGATTTAGGAGATTAATCTTTTCACATTAAGCACTGTGTAAAATCAGGAAGATCTTACTTTTGACTTTTTGCTTTTTACTTTCTGTATGTCTTAGTTTTGGTCCTTTGTTGCTTTCATTACTGCCTTCATTTGTGTGAAGTTCACTTTTTTAGTGACCCTTTATGTTTCTCTTCCAAGTCCCTTTTTTTGTATATTCTACAGATGTTTTCTTTTTAGGTACCATGGAATTATACATACTATGTTATATCATTTATCTATCTAGATCATTTTATAAAAGAATATAAAATATCTTAAATTTATAAAAATCTGCTATAAATATAAGCTAATTTAACTTCAGTTGCACACTAAAATTATATATAACCAGAGACATTGATTAAGAACAAACTGACAGTAATCAGAGGGGAGGAGGGAGAGGATAATAGGGGGGAGGGGAAGGGTCAGCAAGGAACATGTATAAAGGGCACATGGACAAAGCCAAAGGCGGGTAGGATTGAGGGTGGGAGGTAGGGATGGGTGGGGTGGGGAGAATGGAGACAACTATACTTGAACAACAATTAAAAAAAGAACAGTTCAAAAATTATACTATAAAATTGTATTATAAAAAGTAAATAAAATTAAAAAAATAAAACTACACTTTTATGCAGTTCCCTCTCCTCCACTTTATGTAACTGATTCCACCTCTATTGTTTACCTACTAACAATTTATAATTATTTTTATGCATGTGCCCTTTAAATACTGTATAAAATAAAAAGTTGATTTTCAAACCAAAATTATACTAATACTGGTCATTATATTTGCTCATGTATTTACCTTTACTAGAGATCTTTATATTCATATGCCTTTAAGTTACTCTCTAGTTTTCTTTCATTATAACCTGAAGGACTCTCATTTCTTTTAGGGCATATATGGTGACAAAGAACTGCCTCTCAGTTTTTGTTTGTCTTCTCATCTCTTAATTTCTCCCTCATTTCTGAAGGACAGTATCTCTCTTTTTGGGATATAAAATAGTTGACAGTTATTTTCATTCAACAATTTTAATGTATCATCCCAGAGCCTTCTTGCCTCCAAGGTTTCTGCTGAGAAATCTAATGCCACTTTAAGATTTTCTCATTGTCTTTGTCTTTCAAAGTTTTAATTCTATGTCTCAGTGTGATTCCACATAGACATATCCTATTTGGACCTCATCTTTTGTTTCTTTTATAGCAGCTTTATTTTGAATGTGTAGATTTGTGTCTTTCCTCAAATGTTGAATGTTTGAGGCCAGTATTTCTTCAAATAAAATTTCCCCTTTAAGGAACCCCATAATTCATGAGTTGATTACTGATATCTCATTCATTTCTTAGGCTCTCTTCACTTTCCTTTATTCTTTACTTTTTGCTCTTCAGACTAGGTAATTTCAAATAACCAGTCTTCAAATTCACTGATTCTGTCATCTGACTTTTCAAGATGTAACTGAACCCCTCTGATAATTTTTTTAGGTTAAGTATATTTTTCAGCTCCAGAATTACTTTTTGAAAAGATTTTACTTATTTATTTTTAGAGAGATGGGAAGGGATAGAGAAAGAGAAGGTGAGAAAAATCAATAGGCAAGAGACATAATTGACCCCAACCAGGGACCTGGCCAGCAAGCCAGGCATGTTTGCATTCCAAACTGGGAATTGAACCAGTGACCTTTCAGTTTGCAGGCCAGTGCTCAATCCACTGAGCCACACTAGCCAGGGCCAGAATTACTTTTGTTTTTTTTTAAGAATCTCTCTCTTTTTTATTATTTTCATTTTGTTCATATATTATTTTCCTGGTTTCATTTAGTTCTTTGTCCATGTTTTGCTTTAGCATTATAACACATTTGATAGTTCCTTTAAAGTTTTGTATAGTAATTTCAATGCCTGTGTTTCTTCACTGACAGCTTATATCACCTCATTTTGTTCCTTTGAATAAGCCCATGCTTTCCTGTTACTTTGTATTCCTCATGATTTTTGTTGAAATTTGGGCATTTGAGAAAGCATCCACTTCTAGTTTTAGTAGGCTGTCTCCATTCTGGGGAAATCCTTCTTTAATAAGTAAGACATGTTCCGAGCCTTGTATCAGCCTGGGGTGAAGGTATAATGTCTTTTCAGGTCTTTTCTGAGAATGAGTCTTGCCTCTGTGTGTATGTACATGTGACCTTTTTTCCAATTCCCCAAAATATAGAAGTCCCTTCAAATATTATAATTTCCCCAATGGTCTCATGCTAGCTTATTCTTGAATTTTAGATGTTGTATTGTATATCTGTACCCATAATCTCTTGGCTTAGGGATTGGTAGGTCTGTAGTAATCCTACAGCTTTCATGAGCAGTGCCTGCTTTTTCCTGTAATTTTTCCCATTCTGAGTTCCAAGCTATGCTTCAGTTTCCCACCTGAGCTCAGAGTTAGGGAAAAAGGAGGGTAGTTATTCAGGAATCCTCCACATAGGTTAGAACATTTCCAATCAGTTCTGCTGTGTTCCCTATATTTATAGAGAGGAAATGTGGAATTGAGTGGTTGCTTCCTCTTGACTACAATGCCAGTGAGTGAGTGGGCCAGGGGTAAGTAAAATTACTGTGAAATATCTGATTATTTTGAATATGGATTTTTCTTTACTGTGCATTTACTTTGTAGCTATAGACCTTTGACTGTTTTCCAGAGCTCCGATAAAATTATATTAGCCAGTCTGTAGTTGTTTTTTAATGTTTTTATTAAGAAGTGAAGTCTTGGAAATAACCAATCTACCCTCTTGCTGGCATCACTCCCCCACAAATTTTGATTGAGTTGCATTTTCATTTTCATTTATCTCTTATTTAATCCATTTATTTTTAGAATTATATTATTTAATCTCCAAGTATTTGCAGTTTTTCCAGATATCTTTCTCTAATTGATTTCTAGTTTAATTTTGTTGTTGCCTGAGAGCATACTTTATGTGATTTCCATTCTTTTAAAATGGTTCGGGTGTGCTCTATGACCTAGAATGTAGTTCATTTGGTAAATGTTTCATGTGAGCTTGAGAATAATGTATATTCTGCTGTTCTTAGGAAACAATTTGTATAGATATAAAATAGATCCAGGTGATTGATGGTGCTATTCAGTCAAAAACCCCCATAATTTTTCTCCTAGACAACTAAAATAGATGTAATTTTTTCTATTTGCTTCAGCTCTTGCTCCTCTACATTATCTGTCTAGACAGAACTTTTAAATTTCTTCTCTAACTCCTTTCTGTCTTACTCACTACGCTGGGTTTCTTTTAGTTCACTGAACACACTAAGCATGTTCCCACCTCAGGCTTTTGCATTTTCTGTATTCTCTAATCAGAATGTTCTGTGCTTGACCCACTACCCCTACAACAACTGATCCTTTGGGTTTCATCATAAATACCATCTCCTTAGAGGAGATTTCCATAACTATATCTGTTATATTCCTGCATTAGCACAGTTTCTGGTACACAGCATAGTTATCAGAACTCAGTGTCCTTAAATTATTTTATTACCTTTGTTTCAAGAAGATACAGATTTGAAGCTAAACCAGCTTCACTAACTCACATTCCCTCTCTCCCTCCCTCTCCTTATCCTCTCTGTCTTTGCATGTACACAAACACACAGGGACCAAGAGTATGAATATTCATTGTCTACAGTGCTCTTCACCATTGCTCCTTGGAGTTTTAGCTAAGATCAAGTGTAGTATGGTGCTCTTCACCAATCTATGACAAATTTTGCAATTGCCTTTACCATAAACACCTAATTATGACTTTCCCAGAGGTTTGTGCAATAGTATCTCTACACCCTCCTCACAGTGACTCACTAACTGAAATGTTAAACTTACCAGAGCTTCCACCTACAATATGCCGTAAATCATATGGGTTATTGGACCGGCCATAGATCTTGTTACTGGATTCATACCACATGCACAGCTCACTACAGTTGGTTATGCCAAGAGGAATGGCACCAGCTTTCTTCAGTAATGCCACTACAGTGGCATCTGTTTTGGAAATGGCATTACGACGGCTCACAAGGCCAGAAGAATTAGGCATTCCTGTAAAGTCCACAAGAAAAGGAAGTTAAAATGCTATTAAATTAAAATAAGAACAATTTTTTTTTTACTTTGTACCTTCAATGAACCAACCCAACTATTTTGGGTGATTTGCTTGGTACTCATAGGTAGTATGACTTATTGGGAAGTGCACAGGCTTTAGAATCAGAACTAAGTTCAAATCACATACCTGTAGCTTACAAAGTCTACAAACTTTGGGAAATTCACTTAACTTTTCTGATTCTGTTTTTTAGGAATAAGTGAGATATAGAATGTAAAGTATGTGAACCATGCAACAACCCTAACTGTTAAGTACATTCACTAACACATCTTAGAGAAGAAAAAAGAGAATCAAGGTCATAGAGAAAACAAGAGAGCAGCTAGAAAAGGATAGAGACACATATATGATAACTTGGTATAAAACTACCATTTAGACTAGAAAGGAAAGAATGACCTTGTAAATGTACTAGAAAACTGGTTTTCATATGAAAAAATACATACCATAAACAAAAGTAAAATATACTAAATAAACACTTGAAGGTGGAAAATAAAGCAATAAAATTTAGCAAAAAATATGTAAATATTTTTGTTACCTCAAATTTGAGAAATATTTTGTAAACAGGACATAAAAGCAGATATTATAAAATACAAGATTTATGCTCTCAAAATATTACATTGTTTTGTTCAACAAAAGAAGTCATAAACAAAATAAAATACAAGCAACAAAATAAGAGAAGTTATTTATACCATAAATATCAAAAAATGAATATGTAAAATATATATAAAGAATTCTATAGTGCTACAATAGAAAGCCAAAAACACCAATATAAAACAGTCAGAAGTGATCAAAGATGGCAGCAGAGTAAGTGCAAGTTACACTCACCTCTTCCTCCCAGGACCAAACTGGAATTTCTACTAAAATATAGATCAAGTTGAATAACCAAATGAAGACTAGTTGAGCAGAAGTTTTATAAATAAGGATTTACAGAAGAAGCCACATTGAGACTGGCAGGAAGGGCAGAGATGCTAAAAGGTCTGGTCCCACTTCCATGGGCAGCGGCTGCAATTCTGGAGGGATATCTAAGCTGCAGAGGTTCCCCTTAAGGACAGCTAGCCAATCCAGAGCTACCCAGCCCAGAGAACCACCATTGGGAGGAGGCACCCACATAATATATGGCTGCGAAAGTCAATGGAGATTAGGTCCACCAGGAAGAGAGGGAAGTCTGGTAGAGTTGCAGGCACCCTCTTGAAATCTCAGTGTGTAGGATCTTGTTTGTAGCCATTCACCCTGGGATCTGACAGAGTGAGGGCATAGAGGACTGGAGCTGTGTGAAGAGAGAGGTGGTTTATGGCTCTGGGGAGAGAGCTGAAGTGATAGACACCTGGATCCCTGTGCTGAGTCCCCCTCCCACACTGTAGACACCGTCTTTCTTAAGTGGAGCTATCCCCTCCTTATGCCATCACCCTGGGGTAATGTAATAGCCCCACCCACCAGACTTCCTGGCACCCAACCCTGTGGAGCTCATGCCCTTTGGATGAGTGTTCCAGGGTGTACAGGGTGTATACAGGGTGTATACAGGGTGTACAGGGTGTCTACAGGGTGTATAGGTCTGGGCCAACTCAGTGGATACCAGCAACTGAGTTGTGGGCCCTGGAGCAGGGACCATTTCTCCACCTTTCCATGAGCCTGACTAGTACCTCTCTACCATGATGATTTGTTTTCCCTACACTCTGGGCTCCCAGTAGCCCCACGCTCCCGATTGCTGGTTGCCCCTCTGAGCCAAGTGTGGTCTCTCCAGGAGTTCTGGGAAAAATCCAGGACAGACTGAGTTGTGTGGTCCTGGGATGGGGTACAGTCCCCCAACCTTCTCACAAGCCTGATGTTGCCTCTCCCTCATGGAAGATCCACTAGCCCCATCCTCCACTACTCTGCAGCCCTGCTATGCTGAGCTCAGGCTCTCAAGGAAGTCCTGGTATAATCTGAGACTGAATTGTGTTGCTCTAAGACAGAATCCTTTTTCATTATGCCTGCTCAACTGGTATAGAACACTCCCTACATTCAGCCAAATCTTGGTTTTGATTGGGCCTAATTCTGTTGGTCTCACCCTGATGACACCAAGACCTCACCATGCCACAAAGTTCTTCAGGCACCTGGAGGGTGGCAGGTAGGCTTGGTGTACTCTGGGACTTTTGCTGAGTGGCCTCAGATCCAGCACTGGCATCGAATTTGAACTTGCATCAGTCTGGTGAACACCACTAACTCCTACCTAGTGACTTCCTGGCAACCTACCTCATACAACTCAAGTACCTCCAGAAGGTCCTTCAGTGACTGAGATGAATAGGCTGCTAGTGGAGAGAGGCAGGGAGAGTTGTATCTTGGGGTGTCTTGGGCATTTTGCTAACCTGCCTTTGAGCTCAGTGCCACTGGAAGCTGGCTTTGGTGCACAGCATGGTCCTCCCAATGCATACACAGGCCCAGCACAGGCAGCAAAATGGTGGAATCCTTTTAAGAACTGAACAGGTTACCCAGGGCCAGTCACAGACTGAATCTGATATTGAGCTGCACCAGAGTTCCCCACCAAGAGGCCCCAGAACCAGCACATCCAGTTACCAGCTTTAGACAACAACAGAGCAGGATCCAATCAGCTTTACAAGTAATATCTAAAAGATCTCAACAGGCACCAGAACTTTTGAGGCAAATTCTACTTCATGTGGTCAGCACCTGAACAGCCACCTATATGCTGTGGTTGGGGTTGATCCCCACAGTCAGCCAGCTTGAGGGTTGACTCCATGCACTAATAGGCCAATAGCAATCAAGACTCAATTAAAATAGAAGAGTTTGCATAACCCACACTAGGGACATTCTTGGAGCACCCAAATCAGGTGATCAGGAGACTATATCACAGGGTCCCACAGAAAACCAATGACATAAGACTATCCAACCAAGACTGAGGGACAAATGTACCTAATATATAGAAAGAAACACAAAGAGGCAGCCAAAATGGGGAGACAAACATGCTCCAAATTAAAGAAAAGGAGTATCTCAAGATAAAGAGCTAAATGAAATATAGACAAGCAATTTATCAGACATAGAATTTGAAAAAATGGTTATAAGGATATTCAATGAACTTAGTGAAAACTTCAAAAGCATGAAAAGGGATATAGAAACCATAATAAAGTCAGAAATGAATAATACAATAGCTAAAATGAAGAACATACTAGAAGGAATAAACAGTAAGATAAAGCAGGGGATAAAAATAGTGATTTTGGAGACAAGGTAGCAGAAACATACAATTAGAGCAGCAAAAAGAAAAAAGGAAAATTAGGCTAGTTTAAGGGATATCTAGAACAATGTGAAGCATAACAACACACACATCACAGGGGTACCACAAGAAGAGACACAGCAAGGGATAAAAAACCTATTTGAAGAAATAATTACTTAAAACTTCCCTAACCTAGTGAAAGAAAAAGACACACAAATCCAGGAAGTTCAGAGTAATAAAAAAGATGAACCCAAAGAGGCCCACACCAAGACACATCATACTTATAATGGCAAAGGCTAAAGACAGAATTTTAAAAGCACTAAGAGAAAGACAGTTACCTACAAGAGAGGTCTTATAAGACTTCCAGCTGATCCTCAACAGAAACATTTGAGGACAAAATGGGTTGGCACGAAATACTCAAAGTGATGTAAAGCAACACTACTTTAACCATCAAGGCAATGATTTAATATTGAAGGATAAATAAAGAGCTTCTGAGACCTCAAACAACTAACGGAGTCAATTACCACCAAACCTGTATTATAAGAAATATTAAAGGATCTTCTTGAAGGAGCAGCAGGAAGAAGAGAAGAAGGAAGAGGACCGCCAAAGGGAAATAGTTAAGAGAATAAAATGGCAATAAATACCTACTTATCAATAACCACTTTAAATGTAAATAAATAGCTTAAATGCTTCAATCAAAAGACATCAGGTAGTAGAGTAGATAAGAAAACAAGACCCATATACATGCTGTCTATAAGGGACCCACCTCAGAACAAAATATACACACAGAATAAAATGAAGGGATGGAAAAAGATATTTCTTTAAATTGAAATAAAAAAAAAGCCAAGGTAACAATACTTATATCAGACAAAATGGACTTTAAAACAAAGGCTATAATAAGGAACAAAGAAGGACACTACATAATGATAAAGAGAACACTCTGACAAGAGGATCCATTACAACATTAACAAGAGTTAATGTTGTAAACATTAAATGCACCCAACATAGGAGCATTTAAATATATACAGCAAATCTTGAAGGACATAAAGGGAGAGAACAACAGTAAAACAGTCATAGAGGATTTTAACACCCCATTGACATCAATGGATACATCTTTCAGATGAAAATCAACAAGGAAACAGATGCTTTATACAATAGATTAGATGGTTTTAATTGATATATCCACAGTATTTCATCCCAAAGCAGCATAATGTACATTCTTTTGAAGTGCACTTGGAACAATTTCTGGGACAGACCACATATTAAGACACAAAACAAGTCTTAATAAATTTAAGATGACTGAAATTATACCAAGCTTCTTCTCTGACCATAATGGTATGAAACTAGAAAAAAATCACAAGAAAAAGACTGAAAAACACACAAAGACATGGAGGCAAAACAACACATTACTAAACAGTAAGTGGGTTTAACAATGATATCAAAGAAGAAATCAAGATACCTTGAACCAAATGAAAATGAGAACACAACCCCAAATCTATGCATCACAGCAAATGCAGTCCTAAAAGAGAAATTCATAGCATTATAGGCTTACATCAGGAAGAAAGAAAAATCTTAAATAAACAATATAACCTTACAGGTGAAGGAATGAGAAAAGGAACAAGAAACAAAGCCCAAAATGAATAGAAGAAAGGAAATAATGAAGATTTGAGCGAAATAAGTGATATAGACACTTAAAAATACAAAAGATCAATTAAACCAAGAGCTGGTTCTTTGAAAAGATAAACAAGATTGATGGCCCTGGCTGGTGTAGCTCAGTGGATTGAGTGCGGGCTGTGAACCAAAGTGTCGCAGGTTCGATTCCCAGCCAGGGCACTTGCCTGGGTTGCAGGCCATAACCCCCAGCAACCGCACATTGATGTTTCCCTCTCTCTCTCTATCTCCCTCCCTTCCCTCTCTAAAAATAAATAAATAAAATCTAAAAAAAAACCAAGATTGATGAACATTTACCCAGACTCATCAAGAAAAAGAGCGAGGACCCCAATAAATAAAATCAGAAAGAAAAGAAAAGAAGTAACAATGTAAATAACAGAAATAAAAAGGATCGTAAGAAAATACTATGAACAACTAATTGCAAACCAATTGGACAATATAGGCAAAATGGACAATTTATAGAAACATGCAATCTTCCAAAACTCAATCAGGAAAAATCAGAAAACCTGAATAGACCAGTAACAGCTAATGAAATTGTAGCAATAAAAAAAAAAGACCCAGAAAGGATGGCTTCATGGGTGAATTTTACAAAACATTCAAAGAAGAACTAACACCTATACTCTTCAAACTAGTCCAAAAAATTCAAGAAGATGGAAGACTTCCAAGCTATTTTTATAAGGCTAGCATTACCTTAATTTCAAAACCAGATAAAGACACTACATAGAAGGAATATTATAGGCCAATATCTGTGTTAAACATAGATGCTAAGATCCTAAACAAAATATTAGCAAATTGGATCCAGGAATACATTAAAAACATACATTAATACATTATGGTGTCTTTTACAATTCCATACAAATCTAGTAATTTTTGGTTCTATTTCTTTAAAATCTCCCATTGGAGTTTTGATGGGAATTGCATTAAATCTATCTATAGCTTTGGGTTACATGGCCATTTTAAATATGTGATTCTTCCAATCCATGCACATAGATTATCTTCCCATTTCTTTGTGTCTTCAATTTCTTTTAATAATATTTTGTACTTTTCAGTGTATAGGTCCTTTACATCCTTTGTTAAGTTTATTCCTAAGTATTTTATTCTTTTTGTTACAGTTGCATAACAAATTATTTTTTCTATTTCTTTTTATGAAATTTCATTGTTAGTATATAAGAATGCAGCGGGTTTTTGTACACTGATTTTGTATCCTGTAAATTTACTGTATTTGTTTGTTGTCTCTAATAGTTTTTTGGTGGAATCTTTAAGATTTTCTATATAAAGAATCATGTTGTCTACAAGTGACAATTTTACTTCTTCATCTCAATTTCAATGCCTTTTATTTATTTCTCTTGCCTGATTGTTCTTGTTAAGACCACAGTTATTCGCACTGGCTGGTGTAGCTCAGTGGATTGAGTACAGGCTGCGAACCAGTGTCGCAGGTTCGATTCCCAGTCAGGGCACATGCCTAGGTTGCAGGCCACAGCCCCCAGCAACCACACATTGATGTCTGTCTGTCTGTCTGTCTGTCTGTCTCTCCCTCCTTCCCTTCCCTCTCTAAAAATAACTAAATAATAAATAAATAAATAAATAAATACCACAGTTATTCAACATGGTACTGGAAGTATTCCTTTAATTTCTAAAAGAGTGTTTTAGTATTTGCTTATTTCTTCATTAAATATTCAATAGAATTTTCTAGTTGAATGATCTGGGCCTGGGCTTTTCTTTGTATAGATTTTAAAGTCTTTTTACTTGCCATATGTCTATTCATATTTTCCTTTCTTCTTGAATCAATTTTACTTTCTCTCTTCAGGAATCTTTCCATTTCATGTATGTTGTTTAATATGTTTATAAAGTTATTGCTATTAATTTATAATTCTCTTAATATGATTAAAAATGGTACTCATTCCACCTCTTTCATGATTTTTTTTCCTTTTCATTAACTGTTTAGGGTAACACTGGTTAACCAAATTATATAGGTTTCAGGTGCACAATTCTACAACACATCATCTGTACGCTGTGTTGTATGTTTACCACCCCGAGTCAAGACTCCATTCATTACCATTTATCCCTCCTATACCCTTATATTCTCTCTCTCTCTCTCTCTCCCTCTCTCTCTCACTCTCTCTCATACACACACCCCCCTCAGTTTCTGTAGCTAAAAATCTTGCCAATTTTTTTATCATTTCAAACCAATTTTTGGTTTCATGGAAAGCAATTTTACTTATTGCTTTCATAGTTCCTAGCTCAGTGTTTTCCACTGTAATATTTATTGTTTGCTTCCCTTCAGCTTGGTTTAGGTTTGTTTTTTTCTCCTTTTTCTAGTCAGATAAATTGAAAACTTAGGTCATTGATTTTAAATCTTTCTTTTCTTCAGATATACTCATCTAAAAATATAAATTTCCTTTTAATCACTTTTTCAGCTGTATCCCATAAGTTTTTAGTATATTGTTCCTTTCATTTATTTTTTTTCAATTCAAAAGCTCCATGTTGATTTTTCTTTTACTTATGAATGATTTAAAAGAATGTTGTTCAATTGTCAAACATTTGGGGTTTTTACTTACTTTTAAGGGCTGTCAGAAGTTAAAAGAATTGCATTATAGAAAAAGCACAGGCTTTTTTTATCAGAGCCTCAGATTAGTTTTAGTCAAGCTACTTTAGTCTCATGAATTTCAAATTTTTAACTGAAAAATTAGATAATAATACTATTCATATAGGCTGCTTTGAGGATTAATGGGCACTGAGCATAGGCCCTCATACACCATACAGTTCTAAGAGATGACAGCCATTATTGTCTCTCTTCCCAATGAAACTTGCAGAATATTTCCCATCAATTCAAAACTGAAGAAGAACCTTAATATTATTGTTCCACTTTAGTAATATATTTTTCAGTTTTTAACTTCAGAAAATATAGGCGATTTTTAAGTTCAACCCATGTTATCTAAAGAAAGATAATACAAAGAACAGTACCTTCAAGCTGGAAAGCTTCTTTGACTGTCAAAGGAACCCCAAGGAAAGGCCATTTCTTTTCCAAGGTGGCATCATCTTCCTGCTTCTCCGCAAGTTTTTTATCTACAGCATGAGCCTCCTTCTTAGCTTCCTCAAACCTAGAAAAAAATGAAACAGATACAGAAAGCTGTGGACCCTAATAATAAAGATACCTTCTAAGAAAAACTACTACAGGTGGCTAACTGGGCTCAGATTTTAAAAACAGAGCCTAGTAGCCATTTCTAGATGGGGCTCTCACGCAAATTGGCAGAGAAACCTGTACTGAACCACCTGCCTCTGCACTGAACTGCTTTAGTGCACTGAGTTCTTCCATCTGAGCCAGCCCTTACAGAGAAGTTTCTGAATTCTATTTCAACCAAGAGGACAGAGGCTTTCCCCGTGCAATCAGAGCTGTGCATCTACATCCCTATCGGCATCTTTACTAACTAATCAGAGAGGTTTTATTCTGACCAGTCAGGATAGTGCCTTTTGGATCAATCAAACCATGAGGATTTGGCCCTCATCTGCATGAGGATGGACTAATCAGAGTCCAGGGGTAGGGACTTTTGATTATATAAGTCACCTCTCCACTGGCTCTTGAAGCACACTTTTCCTTTCCACTCAAGACTGAAGACTGTGTTTCATTTGCTACAGTTGAAACACCAAAGATAAAACACTGAATATGTCTCACCAGAGTAGAACACAATAGCACAGAGCAGAAGAGCACAGTGTAGCAAATCAGACTGGACTGGACTGGACCAGAGCACACCAGAGTAGACTAGAGCAGAGCACAGCTGTGTAGCTAGAGAGGTGCCTAACCCCAGGGCCAACTAGCCCCAGGGCTGCCTCATAACCATGCTTTCCTGCTTCACGGTTGCACTGTAATACTATCAAGCTATTCTACAGCTGTGATGTTCTCACAGCCAAACTGTATCACAACTGTGCTGTTAGCAATGAATAATGTTTTCTTGTTCACTGTACCCCAAACTGGGGATTCCTGTTGGTGTTTAATTAGTGTCACCAAACACCAGTTGATAAAGCACACAAAGTAGCCATCTATCCAAATTACTAAAAGAACAAGGATTGACATGTTAAAATAAATATACTTGTCAAGATACTTAAAAAGATAACCCTTTGAGCCAGTAATTCTGCCTTTAGAAATTCATCTAAAGTACAATGATCTAACATACTGACAAAATACAAACAGAAAGATGGTCAGTGAATCATTACTATTGGAAAAAATGTGAACCTAATCCATCACCAAATAAATTATTATAGATATCTATTATAAAAAACTGTACAGTTAATAATAATGATGTGTTCTAAAAGTTTTTGTTTTTTTGAAATTCTTATGATGTAAACTCTTGAATTTAAAAGAAGTTATAATATATGCTTATTAGCATATATTATATGAATTCCATAAACACACAGTTGCATTAATATGCCTAAAATTACACAGTTTAAGTGTATGTGGTAATACAATCACTAAATTACATGATCCCAGTAGAATTTCTCAGTATCTGAAACAGTAATTCTTCAAAATAAGAATTTTAAATCCTCTAAATAAACTGTCATGAATATTAAAAATTTAACTTTAATAAAGATTATTTGGCTTCACTTGAGGTAGTAATGATGTTTATTAATTGCTTCAATAAATATTCAAAGTATTCAAACAGAAATATATGATAAAGTCTACGCTTTTATTTTTTAAGTTTTTAAAAAAGATATGTATTTATTTATTTTAGACAGAGGGTAAGGGAGGGAGAAAGAGAGGGAGAGAAACATCAATGTGTTGCTGCCTCTTGTGCACCCCCTACTGGGGACCTGGCCTGCAACCCAGGCATGTGCCCTGAGTGGGAATTGAACCAGTGACCCTTTGGTTTGCAGACAAGCATTCAACCCACTGAGCCATACCAGCCAGGTCTAAAGTCTATGCCTTTAAAATGAACAGTACTTCTGGAGCTATCCTTCCCTACTTATGTGATCTATACCAGTTATTTTATCTTGCTAGATTTCAGTTGCCTCAATTGTAAACTTGGGACATCTACCTAGCAGGGTGGTTGTAAAGATGTAGTAAGAAAACAGATGCAAATACACTTGGAGTCTGTATAGAAAGAAGAATTTATCACTGCCAGGTATATTAGACAATATTTTTTAAAAAAGGAAGAAACATGAGTTCCACAGTGTGCCGCAATAATAAATGATGATGACGATGGATGGTGATGATGATTGATATGTGATAGGCACTGCTCTAAACATTGTCCAATTGCTCGATCTTAACAATCATGTGAGGTAGGTACAATTATTATGCACAATTCACACATGAGGAAAGTTGGGATCTGGGATATTAAGAATTGTGCCCAGGATTACACATCTAATAAATGATAAAACCATGATTTTATATCAAGGTTTAGTTGGTTCTGCAGCCTAAGAACACAGACTCTAGACCTGAGCTGTCCAATACAGTAGCCATAAGCTATTTGTTTCTACTATTTGAAAATTGACTAGTGCACTGTCAAAATTATAATATTTTTGACATAGTTAAAGAACATTATTAAAACTAAGTGAACTTGATTCTTTTTATTTTTCAAAATTTAACTAATAGAATATTCAAAATTATATGTGTAACTCATTTTATTTTTATTGCACAGTACTGGTTTACAGCAAGAATACATAAATTTATATAGCAGCCCTACTATTTACTGTGTGTTCTTAGGAGTGTTATTTAACCTTTTTATATTTCAGTTTCCACATATAATTAATGAAACTAATAGGCCCTGGCTGGTGTGGCTCAGTGGATTGAGCACTGGCTTGTGAACCAAAGGTTGCTTGTGTGATTCCTGGTCAGGACACATGCCTGGGTTGCAGACCAGGTCCCTGGTTGGGGGCTCTCAAGAGGCAACCACACACTGATGTTTCTTTCCCTCTCTTTCTCCTTCCCTTCCCCTCTCTCTAAAAAATAAATAAATAAAATCTTTTTAAAAAAGTCCTATAGGAAAACATAGGCTGGAAAATTTCAGATATTCCATGCAGCAATATCACTGAATGTATCTTAGTGAAAGGAATATAAAGGAAAGAAGAAACAAATGGAACTACATCAAACTAAAATGCTTCTGCACTGCTAAAGAAAACATCAGCAAAATGAAAAAGGAACCAACCCTGTGGGAAAACATATTCACCAGTGATATCTCAGACAGGAGTTTGATCTCCAAAATATATAAAGAACTCACATGACTCCACTCCAAGAAGACAAATGATCCAATTAAAAAATGGGCAAAGGAGCTGAACAGATACTTCTCCAAGGAGGACATACAGAGGGCTCAGAGACATATGAAAGGATGCTCAGCATCACTAGCCATCAGCGATGCAAATTAAAACCACAGTGAGATACCACCTCACACCAGTCAGAATGGCCATCATAAAAAAATCAACAAACAACAAGTGTTGGAAAGGTTGTGGAGAAAAAGGAACCCTGGTGCACTGTTGGCAGGAATGCAGACTGGTGTAGCCACTGTGGAAAACAGTATGGAATTTCCCCAAAAAACTAAAGATGGAACTGCCTTTCACTCCAGCGATCCTGTTGCTGGAGCTACATCCAAAGAATCCTGAATCACCAATTCAAAAGAACTATGCACCCCAATGTTCATAGCGGTGTTATTTATAATAGGCAAGTGCTGGAAGCAGCCTAAGTGCCCACCAGTATATGAGTGGATAAAAATACTATGGTACATTTACACAATGGAATACTATGCAGCAGAAAGAAAGGAGCTCCTACCCCTTGTGACAGTATGGATGGAACTGGAGAGTATTACGCTATGTGAAATAAGCCAGGTGGTGAAAGACAAATGCCATATGATCTCACCTATAAGTGGAACCTAATCAACAAAACAAACATGTGATCAAAATAGAACCAGAGACACAGAAATAAAGAACAAACTGACAGTAACCAGAGGGGAGTGAGGAAGGATACAACAGGGCAAGAAAAGGGAAGGATCAAGTCAAGGAACATGTATAAAGGACCCACAGGCAAAGACAACAGCGGGGAGGAGGAATGAATGTGGAAGGTGGTGGTGGGTAGGGCAGGGGAGAGTATATAACTCACTGGTAAAGATTATAATACTCTAGTAATATAATGTTGGTGTGTAAACCACTTAACTCTAGTATAAAGTTTAAAAGGCAGGTGTGTTAAAAGTAACTATAGCTATAATAATTTCTATTGCATATATTATAAAAGGATATATATTGAGACATGAAAAACATAAAATGTGGCCCTGGCTGGTGTGGCTCAGTGGATTGAGTGCTGGCCTGAGAACCAGAGTGTCGTTGGTTCGATTCCCAGTCAGGGGACATGCCTGGGTTGTGGGCCAGGTCACCGGTAGGGTACGTGTGAGAGTCAACCACACATTGATGCTTCTCTCTTCTCTATCTCTCTCCCTTCCTCTGTTTCTAAAAATAAATAAATAAAATCTTTAAAAAAACAAAATGTAGAAGGGGTAAGGAGAGGAGAAGTTTTGTATGTGATCAAAAATATTATCAACTTAAGCCCTGGCTGGTGTAGCTCAGTGGATTGAGCGCAGGCTGCGAACCAAAGTGTCGCAGGTTCATTTCCCAGTCAGGGTACATGCCTAGGTTGGAGGCCATGACCCCCAGCAACCACACATTGATGTTTCTCTCTCTCTCTCTCTCTCTCTCTCTAAAAATAAATAAATAAAATCTTTAAATATATATTATCAACTTAAAATAGACTGTTACAACTACAGCATATTTTATATAAGCCTCATGGTAACTATGAAACAAAAACCTATATAGTACATAAACAAAAGATACATGGAAAGGAAAGCAAACATACCACTAAAGAATATTATCCTATAATAAAGGAAGAGGGCAAGAGAAGAAACAAAGGAAATATAAAACAGTTATAAAAAATTAACAAGATGGAAATAATAAATCCTTCACTATCAACAATTACTAATATCATCAAGTTCTCCTGACAGTCAACAAAATCTGTTTAGAAAATCAAAGGATTAGGGTTTTAGCAGACTAAGTCAAAGCCAAATTTCCCAAATCAGAAAGCTCACAGAGAATCAGCAACATAAAATTTAGGAAATAAGCCATATGCTTCTGTATCAGGAAAAAAAATGAGAAGAATTGCAGCAGGTATTTCCTCAAATTGAAGTTGGGAGATAGTCTTTGGAAAGGAGTGGAGAAGGTGGAACCCAGGGTTACACCCAGGTGTCTTTCTTGTGTAACTGGGCAGAAGAACAGGTTTGGGAAAGAAGTTGATCAAGTAGTAAACATTTTCTGATTAGTCAATCAAGAATAGAAAGAGAAAGCTAGGAACCAGCAGATTTAGAGACCATAACTATATTTATTTCATAGCTGTATGACTTTAATCATTGAACTGCCTGAGAGTCAATTTAGTGGCAAGCAAGCAGGGGGATAGCAGTACAGTAGAACTGTGTATAATCATGAGGCTAATTCCATTTATTGCACTCCTGTTGTAACAACAACCATAACGATAACAATAGCTAACACTGAGTGACTAATGTAAGGGTATGTGCTGTGTGCTTTACATATATTTTTTATTTTTATGTCAATATTGTAATTCTAAAGACAATATAAACATAATTTGGGCACAATAAAGCCCTTTTGGTGCACTTTAAGGGAGGCAAGAAAAAACGCTGATGCTAAACATAGCACAAACTTCATAAAATTATTTCTGAATATCCACCTTAGAAGCATCTTTGTCTTCTCTCTCCAAATCTTCAATCCCTTGACAGCTACTACCGTGCCCCACTTCCCCCAGCTACCAACCAGGAGCCTCTTCAGTCTCCTGTTTATATGCCCACCCATCATTTTCAAACAGAACAGCAATTTAATTATGTCTCTGATTTTTATTATAGTATCTTTACACAAGGAAGCAAGTTCTACAACATAAGACCTTCCTTGTTAAGACTTATACTCTCTAAACTACAATAGAAAAATAAAAGTAATACCTTTTTCTTGTATTTCCTTTTCTCTCTGAAATGTTTAAAGGTATACTCTGTCAATAAATTAACCACCCACTACATTTCAAATAAAAAACCCAGGACAGGATCTGTAGAAATATCTCCAGGATGAGGAGCTGCTAAGTGCTGGAGGATGGGACCAGTGCTAGGTCTAGTTCACAGACCTAGGGCTAGTTCACAGAAAGAGAAAAGGAGCAAGAGAGAACTCCTGGAACATAAAGACTCTCTGTACTTCTGTTCTGTGAACTTTAGCACTATATGTCTGTATATTTGGATCATGGCTCTGTCACATATGGTCTATGTCACAATTTTCACATCTGTAACATAGGAAGTATAATATCTTTTCAAAAAGAGTTTGAAATGATTAAATAAGAAAATATGTAAAAAGTACCTATAAAGTACAATCTATTTTATGTAGTGTTTGTATTTCATAAAATATTTTATCTGTTTATAATTTCATAATACTGGTTATTTTTTATTTTATTTACATATACAGTAACTATCTATGTGAAGTGATAATATTTTTTAATTTTTGCAGTGATATAAACTTTCATTTAAAAATAATTGACTTAAGTTAAAATAAGTGATTCAATCATAAGTATATTAATTTAACAATAGAGTTGTGCAAACAAGAAAAGAATCGTAAAGATGCCATATGAATGATTGAGATTTGAAGAAATGTCACTCTATATCATAGTATGATAAGAACTGTGCTATGTACGATGCCACAGAAAAACAAATCCAAGTTTTGCCCCTTTAATTCCTCACAACTATCTGGAAGAGCTTACTTGGTAACTGAGACATAGAAATCATATATATAATGTATTTTTATTTTTAAAAATATCTATTTACTTATTTATTCGAGAGAGGGAGAAAGAGAGAGAGAGGAACATCAATGTGAGAGAGAAACACCCATCTGCTAGGCACATGCCCTGACTGAGAATTGAGCCAGCAACCTTTTACTTTGCAGGACGAAACCCAACCAACTGATCCACACCAGTCAGGGCTGCAATAGCTTTTTAAAATAACATCTACCCTACTAAATTGACATTGGAAAGTGTAGTAATGGAGGGTTGTCTTGTTAGAATTGCTACCCAAAACCCACTATTTCAATAAGCATTATGAGGTTCAGGCCTTGTTCTGGATGTTCAATATGTAAAAACCAATGAAGTATTCCTTGCCATCAAAGATCTTAAAGTGAATGGTGGGTGGGAGGATGCAGACACAGAAACATAAAAGCTCAACAAAGGGCAGGAAGTGCTGAATTATAAACTAGGGCAGGTCCCAGTGTGAAACCAAAAGAAGGACAAAGAAGAGTCCGAGATATATGGCAAGATGGCATGGCCACAGAAACAGAACAAAAATCATGACAGTAAAAATGCTCACCTGTACTTGACAATTCCATTTATCAGTGGGTTGACATCCACGATTCTGTTGATATAAGCCTGAATAACATCTATGCATTTTACCTGCAAAATATAATAATTTAAACAGGTATTTATTTAAGGAACAATTTATCCATTCAACAAGTATGGAACAAAAGCATCCTGTGTGCATTAATCACTTTTATTTAGGACATCTTCAATGAATTATCTAGTGCAGTCCACTGTGAGGAGGCCAAAAATGTCTACTCTGAAGCTAAAAAACATCAGAAATATACCAGTATCAGTAGGCTCTGAACAATGAATATGGATAAAAGACATACACTCTCCTCTAAGTAAATAGAGGAGGATATTAAATTGGAGTCCTGAGATATTATGTATATATACTCAACTAGTAAATATTGTTCTAAAAAAGAACTAGTATGATGATGGATATCATTTTATAGTAATACCCTGAAACTTAACATCATACATCATCTTTGAAAAATCCAGGAGTTGAGAAGTACATTAAGGCACAGTTTCCAGATTGAAAAAAAAATAAAGGACACCAAGTTAAATTTTAATTTCAGATGAATAGCAAATAATTTTTAGTATAAGTAGGCCCTAAATATTGCATGGGGATAATTGTACTAAAAATCATGTATTGTTTATCTGAAATTAAAATTAACCTGTGTGTTCTATATTCTTTTCTGCTAAATCTGGAAACCATAGGCCAAGGGTCTTAGGTTAGGAATGTGAGGAGGGGTAACACAAGTAAAACACCTGGGGGGCAGATTAGTGTTTACTTATCATGTACAATCATAGTTTTAATGATGATTCTTATACGTGAGACAATAAGCATTAGGAAATTAAAAAGCAAAGTAGAACTTCCAAATGAAGAGGGAAAAAAAAAAGAAAATGAAAAGAAACTAAGATCAAGCCAGAAGAAGGAAAGGGAAAAGAGAAAGTAAGCATAATAAATTGTAAACATTATATCAAATGGAAGGAATTAAACAAATTATATAATAGTAAGTGAAGACTGAGTTCCACTATCAGAGGGCAGAGACATCAAATTTGGTTTAAAAACAAAGTCACCCCTGACTAACCAGTGTGGGTCAGTGTGTTGGCAGTTATTCCGCCAAGTGAAAACTACCCAGTTTGATTCCTGGTCAAGGCACATGCCTGGGTTGCGGGTTCAGACTCTGGTCGGTGTGTGTACAAGAAGCAACTGGTCAATGTTTCTCTCTCACATTAATGTTTCTCTCCCTCTCTTTCTCCCTTCCTTCCCCTCTCTCTAAAAATAAGTAAATAAAATCTTAAAAAGCAAACAAAGCTCAGTTCAGCTATACATCATTTATAAGAAATTCACCCAGTACAAAGAGGCAATGAAAGGTTAAAAGTAAAAGAATGAGCAAAGATATATTAGGTAAATATAAACAACAAGAAAGTACAGGTGGTACCATTAATATCAGATAAAGCAAATTTCAAGACTGAAATATGAAATGATACAATCCATTAAGATGATATAACAGTCATATACGTTTTTTGTATGAAAAAGGCAGGCAAATATATAGAGCATACATTCCTAAGATTGTAAAGAGAATATGACCAGAAATATAAATATAGTAACACATAATACAGCTCTTTCAGAAATTGACAAATTAAGTAGTCAAAAAGATGGTTATATCCAGGAAATTAACAATACAGCCAATATGTTCAAGTACACATAAAGAACTTTCATTCCATCAAGAAGAAATACTCTTTTTGTTCTTGAATGATGAACAGAATATCATAATGTATTTAGTCACAAAGAAAATCTTAAATCACAAAAGGCAGTAACAGTTTACATCAATTAGGTCAATCATCATAATCCAGGAATACTAGAAAACCAAAGTAAGAAAAAGATAATTTTAAGAAGGCTTAACTATTTCAGAAATACAGTCTTCCATATAACCAATGAGTCTAAGAGGTGAACAAAATTAAAATTGAAAATTATCCAGACATTCACAAAAAGGGGAACATTTCTTTTATTGTTGACACTAATACATATGTCCCCATTTTTCCCCTTTGCTCATCTCCACCAATCTCCCACCCTTCCTTCCATGTGATCATCACCACACTGTTGTCTGTGTCTATGGGTTATGCATATAGGTTATTTGGCTGATCCTTTCACCTTTTTTATCCACTCCCCACTCCCACCTCCCCTCTGACAGCTGTCAGTCTGTTCCATGTGTCCATGCCTCTGTTTCTATTTTGTCAGTTTATTTTGTTCATTATTATTCCATATAAGTGACAGTATATGGTATTTGTCTTTCTGACTGGCTTATTTCACTTAACATAATAATCTCCAGGTCCATCCATGTTGTTGCAAAAGGTAAGATTTCTTCCTCTTTATGGCTGTGTAGTATCCCATTGTGTAAATGTACCATCACCTTTTTATTCACTCATCTACTAATAGCACTTGGCCTGTTTCCAGATCTTGGGTATTGTAAATAACATTGCTATGAACATTGGGGTTCATAGATTCTTTCAAATTGGTGTTTCTGGATTCTTAGGCTATATTCCCAGAAGTGGGAATGTTGGATCAAAAGGCACTTCCACTTTTTGCCTTTATGGTCAATTAATATTTGACAAAGCTAGAAGACCATACAATGGAGTAAAGACAGTCTCTTCAATAAATGATGTTGGAAAAATTGGACAGGTACATGCAAAAAATGGAACTACACCATGAACTTATACCATATACATGAATAAACTCAAAATGGATAAAAGACTTAAATGTAAGCCATGAAACCATAAAAATCCTAGAAGAAAATCTAGGCAATAAAATCTCAGACATCTCTCATAGCAAAATTTTTGCTTATATGTTTCCTAGGGCAAGGGAAATAAAGAAAAAATAAACAAATGGACTACCTCAAACTAAAAAGCTTCTGCACAGGAAAAGAAACCATCAACAGCCCTGGCTGGTGTGGCTCAGTGGATTGAGTGCCAGCCTGTGAACCAAAGGGTCTCCAGTTCAATTCCCAGTCAGGGCACATGCCTGGGTTGCAGGCCAGGTCACCAGTTGGAGGCATGTGAGAGGCAAACACACACTGATATTTCTCTCCCTCTCTTTCTCCCTCCCTTCCCCTCTCTCTGAAAGTAAATAAATAAAATCTTTAAAAAAAAGAAACCATCAACAACAACAAAAAAGGAAACCTGTTGTAAAGGGTTAATTTCCAAAAAATAAAGAACTATATAACTCAACACCAGGAAAGACAAACAAGCCAGTTAAGAAATGGACAGACAACCTGAATAAATACTTCATACAGATGGCCAATAGACAAATGAAATAATTCTCAACATCACTAATCATCAAAGAGATGCAAACTAAAACCACAATGAGATATCACCCCACACCTGCCAAAATGGCTACTATCAATAAATCAACCAAAAACAAGTGCTAGTGAGGGTGTGGAGAAGAGGGAACCCTCGAATACTTTTTGTGGGAATGCAGATTGGTGCAGGTGTTATGGAAAACAGTACAGAGTTTTCTGGGGAAAAAAAGAGGAACATTTCTTTTTTAAAGTATATTTTATTGATTATGCTATTAATTACAGTTGCCCCAATTTTTCCCCTTTGTCCCCCTCTGCCTGGTATCCCCCTTCCCTCCAGCTTTCCCCCCATTAATTCCTGTCTGTGAGTCATACATACACGTTCTTTGGCTTCTCCATTTCCTATACTATTAACCGCCCCCTGTCTATTTTGTACCTACCATTTATGCTTCTTATTCCCTGTACCTTTTCCCCCATTCTCCCCTACCCCACTGATAACTCTCCATGTGATCTCCATTTCTATGATTCTGTTCCTATCTAATTGTTTGCTTAGTTTGTTTTTGTTCTTATCAAAACCTGTAGAATACAGCTAAAGCTGTTCTAAATGTTTTTTTTTCCATAAAAATGAAAAGATGACATAAGCTATCCAATTTAAAATAATAGGAAAATAAAGTAAATGAGAAAGAGAATTACAAATGAAATTAAAAATTAAAAAATAAAAATGTATGAGGAAATAAAGGTGAAATTTAATGACAAAAATGGCAAAAGTAACAACAAATCCAGTTTAAAAGGATCATTAAAAAGTAAATTTTAAAACATATAAAAGTGAAAAATCCTGACAAGAATAACTGAGAAAGAGGAAAGGGACACAGAGAAAAAATGAACTAATATTAAGAATGACAAAGAAGATATAACTATACTCACAGGGGAGACTGAAAAAATAAGAGAATGTTACATGTATCTTTTCTATGGGCTAATTCTTACCTGTTCTTTAGAATTGTATTCTACCTAGTAGTTTCTTAGTAAATATTTTCTAAAAGTGTGCATGAATAGTGACTTCAATCTTCATAAATCAATTCTCTTGTCCAGTGACTTTCAACCAGTGTGCTGCAAGAATTTTTAAAACATGGAATACCTGACTATTTAGTCATGGGCACTGACCTCTCTTCCCTTACGCTGTAAAATAAAAAAAAATTACAACAGTCAACACAACAGTAGTTATCTGGTGTGAATAAATCTAAGTTATACCTAAATCTTTTTTTCTCAGATCAGCAAAAAATACATTTTTTGGTGTGTCACAGAATTTCAGCAATTAGTTTATGTGTGCCTTTAGATGAAAATGGTTGAAAATTGCTGCTCTAGTCTAATGTACAAACACTTCCAGAGTTAAGGGCTTAAGCATCAAGCCAAGGCTTTAAGCCTGGCCACTCCACTAAAGTATACCACTTGACAGATCTTCAAAAGCTCCAACTGCTACTCTAATTGAACTTGTAGCATGGAGAATATGACCCAGCCAAGCAACAAGAACAAAAACAAATGGGCATTAGAGGTAGAATGTAATACAATAACTGCTGTTTGCTGAACACTTATTATGTGCCATATATTTTATAGTTATTAATGTCATGAAATCCCCTTATCAACACATGTAACATCCCCATTTTACAGATGAAGGCTTTGAGGCTAACTGAGGTTAAATTAACCCTTTTGGCCTAAGAAAAAATGAAGAATATGTACATGGTTAGAAAATTTAATCACTACAGAAAGGTACAAATGAAAATTGAAAGCCATTCTCTTTTTTTCCCTCTCTCCCTCTCTCTCAACCTCCCTTATACAGAGAAATCATATTGTATTCATTGTGCTCCAAAAATGGTAAAAATGCATTTTTACCATTTAACATAATTTAATACTATTTCTATATCAATTTCTTTAGATCTACTTTACTCTTGTTAATGGCAGTACCATATTGTTTTTAAATTAAATTTATTAGGGTGACATTGGTTAATAACATTATAAAAGTTTCAAGTGTACAATTCTATAATATATCATCTGTATATTGCATTGTTTGCTCACCACAAAGTCTACTCTCCTTGTTATTTTTAATTAATTAATTAATTAGATTAATTAGACTATTTATGCTATTATAATTGTTCCTGTTTTTGCTCCCTTTCCTCACCTCCATCCAGGCCTACCCTCTCCCCTCCCTCAGTCAATGTGCATATTGTTGACTGTGTCCATGAGTTGTGCATAAATGTTCTTTGGTTAATCCCTTCACCATCTTTCATCCTGTCTCCTCCACCCCAGCAGCTGTCGGTCTGTATCTAAGTTTCTGTAACTATTTTGTTCATAAGTTTACTATGTTCATTAGATTCTACATATAAATAAGATGATGTGATATTTTTCTTTCACCACCTGGCTTACTTCACTTCGCATAATTTTCTCCAGGTAGATCCATGCTATCGAGAAGGGTAAGAACTAGTCTCCTACTGTCACCATATATTTGACCCCATTTTCCCTCTTCATCCTCCCCCTATCTCCCTTCTCCTCTGGTAACCACCCTCCTTTTGTCAGCATGTATGAGTTTTTTTTGTTCTTTGCATTCTGTTTTATATCCCACATACAAGTGAAATCACAAGGCTCTTGTCCTATTTTGTCTGACTTATTCTGCTTAGCATGATATTCTCAAGATCCTTCCATGTTATCACAAATGGCAGTATTTCATCCTTTCTTATGTCTGATACTTAAGTAAACAGTAAAAAAATTCTAATTTCTTTATTAAGTATGGATTATATTAATATAAATAGATAATATGAGCACATATGGTTCAAAAATCTAAAGGTAAAAAAGAGTATACAACGAAGTCCCTTCCTACCTGTCTCCTAACATTCCCCCACAGTTCCCTTCTCCAGTTTTTGTGCATTTTTCTAGAGAGAGAGAGAAAAGGTATTTTTTATACAAATGATAGCATATTATATTAATGGTTCCACACTTTGTATTTTTAAATTCAACATTGTATCTTGGAACTCATTCCATACCTGTACATTAAAAGCCACTTTATTCTGTTTTATTTGCTATATAATTTTAAAGTGTGTATGTATACTATTATCAAATTTAACCAAATCCTGATTTACATTTATAAGCATTTGCTACTAAAAACAACACATGAGGATAACCTCATTTGCATGTCATTAGGTCACTTGAGAATAGGACTTATGTCTATAACCTCATCACTTTTGGGATCATCACCAAAATCAAACTTCCAAGTGTACAAAAACTATGGTCCATTAATGGATGGTGGTGATAATGATAAGTTGATGTCTTTTTGTAAAGTCCAGCCTTGGAGGCCAACTGAGGCTGTGGGAGTTCAGATGAAATAGTGATAGCTTGAATTCTGAATAATGAAACAGAGACTACCTAGGAATCTAAGGCTGAAATATATAGAGAGTTGACATTGACTCAGAGGGAACTGATTGTTCAGAGAGCGGGTTATCAAGAAGTATAACTCTTTCATGAAATAATACAAAACAGAATCAAACTGACCTGGCTCTATCACTTTCTAGCTGTATAGCATTGGACAAGAGACCTAAACTTTGCTTTCCTCATCTGTAAGATGGCGATAATTATGCATATCTCAAAAGGTTGCTATGAAAATATAATGTTTAAACATCTAAGCAAAATATTTACCTTAGCAGTGTGGCTGTAGATCATGAGAATGGGTTTGATAAAACCAAAATAAAGTGGCAGGGACAAAAAGAAAACCACAATAAAACAAAACAATCTCCCAATAAAGACTAGCATCCACAATTGTATTTTCCTATTTCCTACTGAAAGATAAGGCTAAAGCCTATAATGTTAGTTAATTTTTATTTAATATGTGTTAAGTATTTCATAGCCATTATTCCATAGAAATATCCAGAGTACTTTATGAAGTTAAGTACTATTTTATGACCATTTTACAAGTAAGGAATCTGAAGCTCATAGAGGTTAAATCACAAACCCAAGTCCTGATCCATAGGGGAGAAATAAAAGGCAAACCTTTGGCCTTCAGAAACATTAGGAAAACAGCTATTAACTTAATGATATTTTTAGTACATTTTATCGACTGTGCTATTACAGTTATCCCGTTTTTTCCTCCTCTTTCTCCCCCTCCATCTTATACCCCCTCCCACCAGCATTCACCCCATCTTAGTTTATGTCCATGGGTCATACATGTAAGTTCTTTCGCTTCTTTAAGCCTGCAATATTAGTATAAAGACTAATGGAAACAATGGCCATCCTGACAGCAAAGTCAGGGTAAGTAAGAAGACAGGAAAATACTTGAATTTTCTGAAGTAGGTCTCCAGGCAAACTGAAGATACCAGAACTTTAGAACTTTCCTTCACCCATTGTAAGAATTTACCCTTTCATGTATTCAGGCACCAAAAGGTAACATTTGAATCCATGTGGGTAACATCTTGAGTGAATGTATACAATCTGTAGGAGTAAATACTTTTTAAGTAGGTAACAGTGTCAACTCCCTCATATTTACACTTCCATCTAGATCTTAGAGTAGTTTCTTGCTGTTTAATATGAGAAGTAGACATAAAATATACAAAATTCCTAGTACACAGTAGGCATTCTATAAATGATAGCTATTGTTATTTCATCTGGAACTCTAGACTTGACCAAAAATGCAACTGAAAGTGACCCAGTCTCACAGAAAAAAATACGTCAAACCATCATTAATTTTTTAATGGCTTCCTCCTAGTCCCTAGCAGTAAGACTGAAAGGAAGCCAGCTTTCTCAAACATTAAATAGTGCAGGGCAGTGTTTCTCATTTTTAGTATTATTGACATTTTGAGCCAGTTAATTGTTTGTCACTTAGTGGACTATCTTATACATTTTATGTTTAGCAGCATCCATGGTATCTACCCACTCAATGCAAAAGCAACTTCACCCCGTTGTGACAGCCAAAAATGTCAACAGACATTGTTACATGTCCCCTAGAGGACAAACTGACTCCAGTTGAGAACCACTGCTCTAGAGAAAGGAAGTATCAAAGAAAGAATGGGAAGAAGTTGTTAATGTCTGCATTGATGGAGGTAGAAGCTTGGGGGGACTGAGGGAGAACTAGGACAAATAAGATTGTATCTTACCTTCAGGACACTTACGTAAAGTATATGTAAATGATCTCTTTTCATGGGTAAGTATAACATATTAATAATGGCTATCATTTCTAAAAACCTGATGACAGTAATAATAGTAAGACATATTGGACTATGATGGCAGGTGGTGTTTTTAAGAGTTTTACATATATGAACTTAACCCTCACAACATCTCTTTAAAGTAGATTCTATTATCATGTCTATTTTTATTGCAGGATACCAGAGGCACAAAAAGGGTTATGGGATGTTTCCAAGATTGCATAGTTAATTAGGAAATCCAGGATTTATCAATCCAGGCAGTCTAGCTCCAGAGTCCATCCTTCTAATCACTATGACACCCTGTACTTATGTGCCAGGTGCTTGACATGCATTATGTGCAATTATCAAGGCAGCCTTTGCCCAGGGTCCTAGAACTATGAAGAGGGAGACCAAAATTTTAAACCTATTGTCTTTCCACTACATCTCACTCCCCAGTTGTTAGTAAAAACATGCATGGGGGACAAAAGGTTGAGACAAGATACAAGCAAAATGCAGGAAATGTCATTGAAAGGTTATACCAGGAGTGTGAAAAAGGCATTCTAGATCATGGTAATAAAACAATGAGGAAAAACAAATGAGACAACAGAGGGATAAAGACAAGAGTGAAATAAAGAAAGAATACTAGACTATAACCCAAGATCTCTAGGGAACTAACTAACTATTCATATGATAGAGAAATAAATGGCCCTGTTTGCACAACTCTAGAGAGAATGATTGTTGGAATTGTTTAAATCTTTGGATTAATAATTTCCACTAATTTTTGTGTATTTGTGCAAATCATTTTAAGTCAAGTTCCTCATGTGTAAAATTGGGGATATTACCTAGAGAATTACATCAGTAAGACATAATATGTTTAAGTACCCTGCACAGCATTTGACATGTACTATGCACTAAATATAGAGTAGCAACAACTATTATTATCCTAGGGCAGGCATACCTATAGCAGGTACTTATTTTTTTAATATAAAAATCACTACTTATTTTTTTAATATAAAAATCACTTGAATGAGAAGCAGCAGATAGGGTGGGGGCAGGGAGCTCAAGAAGTAATGAATTTCCCTCAGAATCAGTTTGTAAACCACACCTGATTTATTCCCACACAATTATTACAAACAGGACAAATGGACAATAAGGAATATGAATGGTGCCAAAATAGTCCAGCTGATACCTACAGCAAATGCTCTGAATATAAACATACTACAACTCCCAGAAGTCTCCTTTTACCCCCAATGAATGCCCCTCCTCTGTCGCTCTAGTGGGAGGGTGGGAATGAAATTGATTTCCACCAAATCCAAACTCGTTAGCATCACAACCACCACCATAAAACTTCCTGGAGTTTAGTTCCACTGAAAGACCCGTTTCTCTACCACCTTTTGAATCAGCCCGCGGTGTACTCTCACCTTCCTCAATCGGATCAGCTTGGCCAGCTGCACCCCCGAAAGCAGTAGTAATGGTTCAACCACAGGCGGTGTGGTCATGGAGCCAAACTTGGGGCCGCCAAAGGCTCGAGCTGCTTTACCTATTAGGCCAATGAGAAAGCCCATCGTCTGCAGAAGCAGCAACTGGATTCTGGCGGTGAGCAGAGGTGCCATAGCAGCCTGGATTCCGCACGGTCCTAGTGCCTGAGAGTCGAGTTCACCCTGGGCAAAATGAGGACAAAAGACTAAGCAAGGAGCTGTTTAAGAATCCTTTCATTTACATGTCCGATAACTACCCACAATTCCACAGGAGCTCGTTAGTCATTACCTGCTGGGTTCTGGGCCAGAAATGGGGGCGGAGTAAAGCCTTCCCAGCAGCTGCCTGTGTGTAATGCAACCCATTGTTAGTACTATTGCAACCCAACCCAGAAAGTGAGAGATAAGAAAGAACACTGGCTTCCGAGTTGCTACTTCTGGCGCTAGCTGGCCTTGGCCTATTTACACTGTTTCCTGTACTCAACTAAAACGAAAAATAAGAATAATTATTCTTACATAAAAGATTTATGCTGAACACTAAATAATTAAACAGCACAATTCATGGCAAATAGTATAAGTGGTAGTTATCATTTACTTTGGTTTTACCTGTGAAAAAAGTGTAAGTATATAATATTCAGTATGTAAATATTCAGTATGTTCAACAACTAAATAACAAGCATATACATATTATCGATATCCATATTATTTAATCCTTGTAAAATCACAGATAGTGCTTTTTAAATTTTTTTCTCAAGATTTATTTATTTTTAGAGAGCAGGGAAATGGGGAGAAAGAAAGGGAGAGAAACATCAATGTGTGGTTACATCTCAAGCGCCCCCTACTGGGGACTGCTCTGCTATCCAGGCATGTGCCCTGACTGGGAATTGAACCAGCGACTCTTTGATTCTCAGGCTGGAACACAATCTACTGAGCCACACCAGCCAGGGCTAAAATCACTGATAGTGATAGTACTGATGAATAAAAAATATATAGCCCATGTCCCTCTCTTAAACTTCAGATACTTGAATTGAATGCCTGACATCTCCACATGAATGTCTCATAGATCCTTCAAATTTAACATGTCTAAAACTCATCATCTTTGCAAACCTGTTGCTCTTGCAGGTTCATAAGTGGCATTTCATCCACCCAGTCAGCCATGCCAAAAATCTGGGAATCATCTCAGATCCTTCCTTTTCTCTCATTCTCATGCACAGTCACCCAGTCCAGTAAATAACTTTCTTTCCTGACTCAGCCTTAGCTCAGATCTCACTGTTTCATGAACTTCTACAAATAACCAACTGATTACCCTGTCTTCATTTACAGTGTTTTTCCTAATATGCAAATTTGACCCAGTTACTTCCCTGCCAATGATTATGCAATAATCACCCACTTTCTTCAGGTTCAAGCCCCATTTACTTTGTCCGGTATGCAAATATCTAATTATTGATGTCTGAAAACCTCTATACCTCATCTCAAGCCCATTCTGTTCCTCATGTGCTATGCTCCTCCATATCTTCTCATATGCTTTCCTCACTCCCTCTCCATCTGGCTCAGGACAAGTACCACCTCCACCAAGAAGTCTTCCCTAAGCACTAGGTTTCGTACCACAGCACACTCCACAGATTAACAATATCACAGCACATATAACCCTCTATTTCAATGTTAGGATTTTCTCTCTACTCTCTATCTAGATGTGAATAGAGTCACTCTAATTATTTGAATGGTCAGAGCCCAATATAGGGCTTGTCATACAGTCACTACAAGTTTGTAGGCTAAAGATATGAATTTATGAAAGAATGATTGTAGGCTAAAGATATGCATTTATGAAAGAATGAATGCTGAAGATAGGCCTCAGGCTTGGCATTTAAGGCCTTGAGTAAATGAAATGTAAAGGTCATCCCAGGAACAGTTTTTTCATTTGTATAACTCAGTTGGATACTGAAAGGTATCAATCACAGAACGTCTAGCCTAGTTGGAAGCGCCCAGTGGAACTAAACACAGCTGACAGAATAGACTGTCAGAATCTAGGCTCCATGACAGTTTTGAGCAGAAGCTGTAGCTGAGTGAATCTTCTTTACCAGGGAGAGTCTTTGCCAAGGTGAAAGGCTTTCATTTGCCTAACTTTTCATACTTTATCTACATTGTAAATGACTGTTGTCTAAGTCTATGGTGCAAAGAATGCCCATTCAGAAAGCACTGACCAATAAATCTGGATTCAAATTCTATAATCCAAATCTTAAACTTCCCTCACACACACATTCTTGTACAAATCACTGTCTTTGAGTGTGTTTGCTCATCTGTAAAATAAGAATAACAGCTACCTCACGGTGTTATAAAAAGTAAATTGAACATGTAGGTAAAGATCCTACAGTGACTTTCTAATGCATTATAGCTCTTTATATTTGTTTGTACTGAACAAAGAAACACAGTCTAATTTTAAGAAAAAGAGATGGAGAAAATTACATTTTGTCCCAAAGAGAAAAAGGAATGAGAAATACTTTGTGTGTGGGGAGGTGTAATCTCCCTATTAAAGTCAGGTAGGATTTATATTATTCCACAATCCATTTAGCAGTCAATGGTGGAGGCTCAGGAGTCATCCTTGACTCCTTCTTAAATTTCAATTTCCATTCTAAGTCTTATATCTTAGTGTGTCTGTAACCTGTTCTCTACTTTCCATTTATACTGCTACTACCTGAGTTATGTAATAGTTTCTTAATTGGTACTATGCTGCCTTCAATCTGTCCCTTTTCAAAACTATTTACCACACTTACATTTTATTTTTTTTCTGATAAAGTAATTTATGTTCCTATTTATACTGTATATATTTGGCTTGTCTTTTATATCCTCATGAAAGTGGGTATTATTATTTTTACAATTTTATAGGTGAAGAATTGATTTTTAGTTGTTGATCAGACTTATATTTATTTGATTTAGAGTAATGGGGAACAACTTTTTTTTTATGTGATCATGGGTCATTTGCATCTCTTCTATTGTTATTCCCTGTTCATGTCCCCTGCCAATTTTTCTATTGAGTTATCTTTTTAAAACCTTATCTGTAAGTGTTCTTAATTTAGTGAGGGTATTAACCTTGTATATACTTTATATGTTTATAATATTTTCCCCAGTGAGTTGCTTTTCATTTGATATTATTCAAAGTTGTGTTAAAACATAAAAATAGTTTAAATACTTGTGTAAGCAAGCCTGTCGAAGTTTTCTGTTGTGATTACACTAACCAATATTATCCTTAATACCCTTTCTCAACAGTTTATCAATTACAGTTCACCTATATTATCCCTTTTTTTAAATTATTTTTTTTGGAGGAAGTTTTTTCTATTTTGCAGATAAATACTAGTATGGAGTTCAGACCATTAAGGGTAGGGTGAATGCTAACTCTCCAATTTTTACTTCCTGCCAATTCCTCACATACATTCTTTTCTCCAGCTATACCAAACTACTTGCAATTTCCTAAAACAGTGGTCTACAAACTGCAAGTGCTATTTAAAATATTGACAATTAGCATGTTCCCTAATATAGATGTACATATTTATGTATAGACAACACTGAACTGTGCTAATACAAATATTAATATTATATCCTATGGACAAATATGAAATGTACATTATGGAATACAAAGAAATAAATAAATGCAAGTATAGGATTTTTTTAAGTCCTAGTATTTTTGCACACTCCAATATATTATCTTGTGCCTTCTCACACACACACAAAATACTAAACAAACTACCACCCACATAAACACAACCATAAATGCATATGAAAATATACACTCATTTCAATAAACATATGAAACTTTACACAGGAATGCACTTGTACAGAATCACAGCTATGAAAAAAACAAAATTCTTCCAGGTATCCTTTCACACATCGTAATATAAAGCAAACATTATGCTTCAGTGACCACAAACATCAGATTGGGGCAGGCAAAATGTGTGTGGCTTGATAAATGGTAACAAAATAGGTAAATGAATATAAAATGATAGGATTTTGAATGCATACATACCCTCCACCCATAATATTTGCTTTTTGAATATTTTTATACATTTTAAATTTATTTAAATGCATTTTATATTTTTTATATTTTAAAATGGAACTTTATTTTGAGATAATTTTTATGTAATAGAATGCCAATTAAAAAACCCCTCATACACACAGACAACAGTATGATGATTACAAGAGGGAAAGGGGGTGGAAGAGGTAGAAGAGGGTAAAGGGGGAAACTTGACTTGGGGTGGTGAATATACAATATATCATATGCTTATATAATACATAGATGATATAAAATTATACACTTGAAACATGTAATTTATTAACAATGCCATTCCAATAATTTCAATAAAAATTTAAAAATACATATATTTTATATAGTTTTAATTTATTTAAATACTTTTTATATATTTTTTATTTTTAAATTATATTTTTTAAACTGCCTTTTTAAATTTGTTTCTTTAAGATCCAATTTATTTTTGTTTTAATTTTCTATTATTGTCAACTACACTTGTTTCCATTTTCACCCACCATGTCCCACCGCTCCATCCATCCCCACCTCCCACCCTCAAAACTAACCCCTTTGGCTTTGTCCATGTGTCCTTTTACATGTTCCTTGATGGTGCTTCCCTTATTATCCCTCTCCCTCCCCCTCTCTGGTTATTGTCAGTTTGTTCTTTATTTCAATGTCTCTGTATTTTGCTTGCTTGTTTGTTTTGAGACCATATGGTATTTTTCTTTCACTACCTGGCTTATTTCACTTAGCATAATGCTTTCCAGTTCCATCCATGCTGTCTCAAAGGGTAGGATCTCCTTCTTTCTTTCTGCTGCATAGTATTCCATTCTGTAAACATACCACAGTTTTTTCATCCACTCATTTACTGATGGACACTTGAGTTGCTTCCAGCACTTGGCTATTATAAATTGTGCTGCTATGAACTTAGGGGTGCACAGGTTCTTTTGAATTGGTGATTCAGGATCCTTAGGATATAATCCCAAAAGTGGTATTGCTGGGTCAAAAGGCAGTTCCATTTTTAGTTTTCTGAGGAAATTCCATGCTGTTTTCCACAGTGCTGCACCAGTCTGCATTCCCACCAACAATGCACTAGGGTTCCCTTTTCTCCACAACCTTGCCAGCACTTGCTTGTTGATTTGTTCATGACATCCATTCTGACTGGTGTGAAATGGTATCTCATTGTGCTTTTAATTTGCATCTCTCTGATGGCTTGTGATGCTGAGCATCTTTTCATACG